AAAATAATCTTTTCAAAATACACAATTTAGTGTTAAGAATTTAATATTCAGATACTGTAGATTAAGATTCAGCAAACTATAATCTCCAGGTGTGCTGCCTCATGGTGTAAAGAAAGTGTTACTAGTGCATAGCCACACCCACTCTTTTAGGTTTTCACTGTCATGGCAGAGTTAAATAGTTATGTTAGGACACCATATGGGCTTCAAAGCCTAAAATATTTACTATCTGCCCATTTACAGATAGGCTTATCTATCCCTGCTCTACAAAATGATCATGTCTACAAGCTGTACCCAAATTAAAGGAAATACCAATAGAGGATTTTAAAAGGAACAAACAGTGCAGTAAAACGGTTGAAAGCATAACCTTGAGAGTCAGACAGCTTAGCTTGCACCTGCCTCTGGACATATTATGTGGTCTTCAGCAAAGTTCTAATGACTCTGAGCCCGTTTTAAACCTGCAACTTGGAAATAATAACCCCATCCCAGAGAATTATTGTCAGGTTTAGATTTATAGTAACTTTAGTAAATTTTTATTAACACTGTTCAGACAAAAATAAACACATCACTTGACTTGAAGTCGTTCTTGTTACAGTTCCCCTAAACTATGTTTTTAAAATTTCAGTCACCCAAACATCGAAAATTTTGAATTCCTACACAAGTATATGATATTATCTTAAAATCCATAGTTTCTTTAAATTATAATTCAACCTAAAAATTATTTGAGTTTTCAATGCTTATTAATAGGTCAGGGATTTTGATTTCATTTGCCATACAATGTTATGATTTATTAGGATTTCCCAAAGCAATTAATAAAATATACTAGTCAAATAATTTAACTACAACAGTTTTCCATTTCCAGAGGATTAATCTTTAAGATCCAGAACTTATTCTTAATTGTTTAGTTTGTTTACTGGTGTGATTTTTAAAAGCATTAGAAAACACACATGAGGTCTAAGACCTACATCTGTCACAACCTCTGTAAGACTGCTTTTCTTCATCGGGAAGAGATATTGTGAGTTGATATAAGGATAAGTCACAACGTAAATATACATGCATTTTTAACCTGTACAAATAATGAGCATTAATATATATCAATGGAAAAATATTATGTGCTGCCTTAAATTACTGATGCTGACATATTTTTCTTAAAGAGTGAGGGTTCTTATCTTAAATATTCCTCACTGTAGTGTGCTATAGGTACCGTTATTATATAAAGATCTCAGCAGTTACAATGTTGGACTGAGAAGCAAAAGTTGTTACAGCACACAAACATGCATTAATAACCTGTATAAAATTAGCCCTCAAACATTATTCCATCCATACTTAACATCAGGGTCTAGTGGCATTCCTCACACCAACATCTCTGCCAGATCCATCTCTCCCTGATTGCTGGATGGTGTAAACACATGACAATATAATGCACATCTAATACAAACTGATTTGACACAGGAAGATGCTAATCTTGCCAAAGATGAAGGATTTCATGAAGATGATGACAGTGATATTGGAAAACTGCTCAGATAATATGCAAAATCATCTACAAATATGACAGAATTCAATAAATTAAGTGAATAAAAGAAACCACAAAGAATTGACATTGGCTTTTGAAAATATTTTGGGTATTAAAAATTAAGAAAAGACCTTTGGAAAACTGACAAAATCTCAGCCACTTCCAAAAAATGACTCTCTTTTGTAATATAGTTATAAAAGTAAAACCTAACAAGAAGTGAATGATGTATCATTTTTCATTGATATGAATATTTTTTACATTTTAGTATCTATGAAATGGATGCATCTAATTATTAATTTAATGACACCTTATAAACTGTTATAATCTTATGAACTATTGGCCAGGCAGGAGTTACAACATAAATTTTACTGCCTGAGAAATTTAGGATCTTTTTATTAGTTTTTTCTTTCTTGGCATCATAACCAGAAAACCTCTCAGAGTTTCCATTTTAAAAGACCATGTGAGCCCTTTAACAGCAGAGTTTTCTCTTTCTGGGTGTAGAAGTGACCGTCGGGAGTTTGAAACATTGGAGGGGTTGGATGCAGGAAAAAGGACATTTGATGCAGACTTTCCAATCTATCTCTCCAGTAGAAATTCTCTTAAGGAGCAAAAGGAAAAGAGGCAGTATTTGAAGAAATATTAATTGAAAATATCCCAGAACTGAAGATAAGTATTCAGATTGAAAACCTTCAGTCGGAATCTGAGTTGAGTTAATGAAAAAACAATTAAGAAATATTCAAGAGAAATTCTAGAATATCAAGAATAGCAAAAGAGTCCTAAAAGCTAGGAGATGGCAGGGGGAGTGGGCAGAAATCCCTCATAAAGGAAAAGGAACCAGAACACAATCACATGTCTCATTAGCAATAATGAAAGGAAGACGATAAGGCAGTATCTTCAGAGTGGAATGGAAAAGAATTTGAAACTTAGATTTCATTACCCAGCCACATCGTCATTCAAGACTTTCAAATGCAGCCACGATCAGATCTCCCACCCTCCCTGAATGACTAAAAGTCTGGACCAGATAAACAAAGCAACACTTTATCAAACACTGGACAATAGGACAACGATCCTTGAGAGAAGGTAACAAGTGAGCTAAGCCCAATGACTGACTCCTTCCCTGGCAGAGTTTCCAGGCTGCAGCACATGGTCCCCATACAGCTCAGCAGTTTCCCTGAGTTAAGGAAACAGCAGCCAGAGCTTGGGAAGTTGATCACTAAAATTTGCAGGATGGAGAACCAAAGAATAGAAGGCTGCACAGAGACGAGTACTAGAGATGTGTTCAGGGTTTCCTCTGAGTCTCCTGCTGAGTGACAATTAGCATTAATGTCAATAATACCTCAAGGCTCACTTAGGGCTGGGAGTACTTCATTCTTCCAGCAGCCACAGTGGAAAGACCTCCAAATTACAGGGCGTTGAGTACTCAAGAGTACCGCCTCAGCAATGGGCCAAATTAGTTCAAGACTGATGGCTGTTCTGAACCTGTCTAGCAAAGCTTAGAAGCTACCCTTGAAAGACTTAAACTATTTCCAGGTGACTTAAATGCATACCAGGAAGAACCAACATATTTAAATTAAAAAAAAAAAAAATTAAATACACAATGCCTGGCATCCAATCACAAATTACCAGACAAATAAAAAAGCAGGAAAAGATGACCCCAATGAGTAGAAAAATCAATCAACAAACACAGACTTAGAAATGCCAAAGATAACAGAATTAGTAGATAAGATCATTAAAATAGCTATAATAATTATATTCCATATGTTCAAGAAAGTAGAGAAAAGCATAAATATTCTTTTTTTAAAGATTTATTTATTTTTAGAGAGAGAGGAAGGGAGGGAGAAAGAGAGGGAGAGAAAAAACAACATGTAGTTTCTTCTCATGCATCCCCATCTGGGGACCTGGTCCACAACCCAGGCATGTGCCCTGGCTGGGAATCAAACCTGTGGTCCTTGGGCTTGCAGGGCAGCACTCAGTCCACTGAGCCACACCAGCCAGGGCAAGAAAAGCATAAATATTCCAAAGAGAGATGTGGAAAGTATAAAAATTAACTAAATAAACAAACTTTTAAGACATAAAAAATTCAATATCAATATTCAAAATTCAATATTTTAAGAGATAAAATATACAATATCTGGATGGGATTAAAAGCAGATTACACAAAGTAGAAGAAAAGTCAATGCACTACAACTATAGTGATAGAAGCTACCCAAAATGAAACACAGAAAAAAAGAGTGAAAACAAATGAACAGATCAGTCAGCTGTTGAGAGAGCATTACATGTTCTAATATATGGGTACTGAGCATCCTCAGGAGGAAAAGAGAGAAGAGCAGAAAAAAACATTTGAAGAAATAATGGACGAAAATGTCAAATTTGATAAAAATTATAAACCCACAGATCCAAGAAGCTCAATGAACCCCAACAAAATAAACATGAGGAGTACACTAAGCTACAGTGTAATGGAATCACTTCCAGTGATGGAGAGAGAATGTTAAAAACCATCAGAGAAAAAAAAAACATGCATACATACAGAGATAAAAGGTAAGAATGACAGCAGACTTCTTGTCAGAAATGCCAGGAGATAAGTGGGGAGATACTTTTAAAGTACTGAAAGAAAAATCTTTCAACCCATAATACTATAGCCAACAAAAGTATTTTTCAAAAAAGGCAGCAAAATACTTTTTCAGACACACAAACACTGAGCAAATTCACCAGCAGACCACTGCTATAAATTATCATTTAATAATGAAGACAAAATAAGGACATTTCCCAAAAAATCTTGAAAATTTTCTCTCCAAAAGGATTACCAGAAAACATTCTCCAGCATGTACAAAAATAAACTGAGGGAAAAAATAGTAAGGTGGAAGGAACAATACTAAGGAAAGAAATCTGTAAGTCTTGATAATTCTAATTGTTTTAAAATATTTTAAATTAAAATCTGTAGCTAAAATTCCAGATGCCAGGACAAGAGGAATGGGGCAAGAGAAAATGCTGGATGTTCTCTTCTACTGTCTACAGCATACAAAAATGGATTAATTCCAGATATTAGAGACACATAAACTATTGTATATTAAAAATATAAAGGGTAACCATTTAAAAAATTAGCTATCTTCCTGTGATATATTTCTCCCCCCAAAAATCCTAAATTGAAATGACTGCATTAAGTCACAAAGATACCACTTATGAACTTATCACAGATTTAAGTCTAACCAAAATGTGTCACCATGAATTGACCTTACATGGCTGTAAGTTCATACAGCTATGAACTCACTCCCAATTAACCAAACCGACAACAGAATGTTACCCTTGGTATAAAAGATATAGCAGAAGAGGGGTTAAATAAGTTAAGATATATCACAACTTTACACTCTGCAAATGTTTAGAGTAAATGTTTGTAAAAGATTACAGTTCTTTCCATTTATACCTACCTTACTCCAGACCTTCACTTTGAACACTAATACGTTCAAAAACCTTGAAAGAAAAACAATCATACCATATGTCCTTCGGCACGAGCTTTATTCTGCCTTGCTTCCCGTTTCCGCTGTAGGAACTCTTCCACTTGTTTAGCTCTTTCCACAGCTAGCTGTCCTCTTTGCCTGAGCAATGTGAACAAATAACAAAGTCAGAAATTCTGAACACGAAATACTCCATAAAGTTAAAAATTATTCTATATGTTTTCTTTGTTGCAGAATAGGAAGAAAGGCTGATGTGAAATAAGATCTTCCTCTGTAATGAAGAAACACCTATGTGGTACACAGGACCGACATTGCATCCAGACCAGACACACCTTATCCATCCTGGAATCATAGAGCACACATTAGGACTGGTAGTGGACAGCATGTGTGCAGGGCAGAGGCACAAACAAATTTCTCTTTCATTATTCCTAATCTTCAAGCTACCATGACTTGGGTGGGGTTTATTTCTGAATTTGGTGATGTGGAACTAGATTAAAATTCAGCTGCCTAGACATATTTGAGAGTCATAATAAAAGGCTCTTAACCAGCTTTAGAGATTATCTAATCCTAGAAGATTCCAGTGATGGAAATTTCCCAAGAATCTCTTTTAAGTACCACATAAGGTAAATGTACCTTAGGCCATGCTCATTCATAGCTTTGTGGTGGGACAGATTTTAAGTTTTTATAGCTTAATTTCATTTCTAAAATATTTTTAAGTTTCGGTTGGTTAACAAAATATGTAAAAGACAATTATTTGAGGCATAAAAATAAGAAGTGTTTAAATCTAGTGGAAGATAGAAAAGGAATTATTGCATGTAATCTTCAGAGCACAACTGAGATATAGTCCTGAAGAAAGGCCATAGGGAGTTTGTGGGCTTTAGTAGCCAAAATCCGAGTAGAAGCAGAGGCAAGAGCTCACTCATCTTTGCTCCTCAACTCCACAACTAACTATGACTACTGGGGGTAATCATACGATTACTGTGAGTTCTATGATTACTGACTGGGGCTTGGGTTGTATTTAGTTTTGTCTCCTACACTTAGCATGGTAATAGGCACAATATATATTAGAAGTTCAATAAGTGTTTGTTATTGATATTTTTTATTTGTAGTCTAGACTCAACATGTTTATACTTTTTAGTGATTCAGAGAAAGATATAGAAATATAACTGGAAAAGATAAAACAAATAACCGTGCTATTTTTTCCTAATCTATTTTACTTTTTCATAGCTTTGATATTCGAGGAATTCACACATTGCTTTTTACTATATTTTTGAATTTCATACAAATAAACTTTTCTTTTTGTTCGTTTTCGAAATTGCTACTATACTGCTTTAATTTTACTTCAACACTGATTAAAGAAGGATATAGATATATTTTATACAGAGTTCTGAAACAAGCTTTACTTGGAAGCTCTTGACATTCTTCTGTAATTAAGTATAGTCTAAAATAATTTTATGTAGCTATAAATAGAAGAGATTAAATGTAAGAGTAACCTTGTTAAGATTTGTAGTAGTAGAATAGACTTCTATATAAAACAGTAAACAATTTGATTTAGGTAGTAGATACTAATATATGATACAGGCAAGGCTGGATCCTGGCCAGCGATAGCCCCATTTATATAAAGCTGGGCCTGAAAAGGGCAGACAAACTTTCAGAGGGTATGGTGCTCAGACATGTCTACTGCAAAACCTGGGGACACAGAGGACCAATCATAGATTTACTTTTAAAAATTCTATATATAGGTGGACCCACGCAGTTCAAACCCATGTTGTTCAAGGACCACTGCAGATGAAAGTTCATTCAGCATTTGGAATCACATTTTATTTTTAAAGTACCCCAAATTTTAAAACCAACTAAATAACTTTTCAGCCTGTTCATTAGGAGTATCTCAAGAAGCTGAGAAAGTTTCATAAATGAGTGTACTAAGGAGCTGAACTCTCCAGTCAGATGGACTTAATTTAAATCCCAGCTCTAATACTTCTTAGCTGCCTAAATCCCAGGTTTTAAATCTCTGTAAGTCCTAATGTCTTCATGTTTATTTAAAAAATAATATCTAATTCAAAGGGTTGCTGTGATGAATGGATGCAACTTGTTATGTAATAAATGTTCCATAAAGAGTATCTGTCATGGATAATAACTCTAGTGCAACAGAAGAAAATGTATACTATACGTTTGAATAGAGCTAAGCCCACCAAAGTTGATACAAATAAGGAGTAATGATCTCACAACCAAAAGTGGTTTATAAAAATGGAAAAATTAAAATACTGAAACTGTATCTGATGCTCAAAAAAAGATTGGCCAGAAAGTGTGGTGTAGTGGAAAATGTAATTGAGACACAGCTATTTAAGAATATCTGAAACTCAAGTATAAATACATGCAAATGTTTCAAGGTTATAACAGGAAATTGATGCAAATGGCCCAATGTAGTCCATCATTTGTCATTTCAAGTGTGAAGCAGCAAGAAACATTCTGGAAGATAAACAGTGTAAAGGAAGCAAAACACAGTTTTTCCTATTTTCTTTATACTATACATACTTATTTTAGGAGATATGATTAAAATAAAACAAAGCAAAGCCAAACCAATTACATACTAGAAAGAGCAATAACATGAGAATAAAAGCCACACATAAAATTTGCTTTGCCATCTCATAAAAACGTTTACATTTACGTGTGAGTCTGTATAGCCCTTTCTCAGAAATGGAGAATCCACAATGAGCTTAACACCTCAGACTACTGCATATAATTCATAATGTTAATTTATGTTCACCTCTGCTCAACTATCTTTTAGTCATCTTTTCTAATGAGGGGGAACATAAAGGTTTTTCTTATACTCAATAGTATTTTCCTTAAAAAGACAAGGAAAAAGCAAGGTACCTAAATTTTCAGAGTGATATTCTGAAAACTAAAATGTTTTATAAAAAAATGGGAATGTGTAAGAAAACACATATGCTTACTTAAGAAAAAAGGAACTATGCAAATTAAAACTACTGACTACTACCATATTAAATTAATTCAATGGAAGAAAAGGAAAAATCTGATGAACAGGATCATATAGAGTCATAAATCAGAGCTGAATGTAAAGAGAAAACAAGCCAAAACAACAAAGAGAAAAGTGAAGTTCTAAGTGATGAGGAAAAGAAAAAAAGACATGCTTTGTAGTTTTGCATAAAGTGTGATTCCATTTAAATATATTCTGATTTATTTAAAGCAAGTGGATGAAGTTATTACAACCATATGTTAGCTCAAAGTTATCACGTGTTCCTTTAAATAGTATGTTCAGCCTATAAAAATTAGGCTGAATTGAAGAGCTACATGTTTGCCATATGTAATCAAAAACCAAATTTGCACCTGAGAAAATTACTGCAGCCAGAAGGCAAAAAGAAGTCAATGAAATCAATGAAGAAAATATTCACGAAGTACAGATACTCAGCTAGACATGACATAAGGCAAAATTACACATAAGGATGAATTTATGAATCATCAGAGTCCAACCGGTCTGCACTAGTTTCTTTAGACGGCCTTCAATCTCTTCAAAGTTTTTGTAATAGTGTCAACATCAGGACAATAGTGACAACCTGCAGCCCCATTAGGAAATCCTGGAAGTACTCCAGGTGAAATTCCTCTGTAGGTAAATATGCACAATGAGTTGTATTACTTTCTCTGAAGCAAAGCATAGCCATACCTTCCTGGAAGCCTTTGCCCATGTATTTCTCCTTTCCATTTAACTTCATTATTTTCTGCTCTTTGTTGCTGCATTTGATCAAAAATAGCATGATAATGTTCATATTGTCCTCGAGAAGAAAAAGATGATGGAGCCACAGCCCCTCCACTGCCAAAAAAGGTAGCCTAGGAATTAAACAAACAGCTCTTATATGTCTGTCTCATAACACCTAAAACGCCTGCACTATCTTAAAAAAAAATTTTTCAACACTTAACTCTTTTAAAAAGTAGTTATCTAATTTGAAAATATTAATAAGCATATATCCTAAAGGAAAATATCTTTTTGCTATAACTATTAACAATCAAAAAGTAGTATATTTTGTTACTAACAATAAAGTATAATGTAATATAACAAAAAATAGAAAATGTCACTAAATTTATGTAAATATCAAAAAATCTGGTCTTAATTAACAGGTTGGGGAACAAGAATCTTGTGAACATTTTATGTGATCCTATTTTATTGTTTAAATATGTATAGCTTATAAGTAAAGCAGAACTTCCTTTAATAACACTCAAAATTATAATTTAACAAAAACAGTTATACACGATATTTAATATACCCCAAATCCTTTGATTTAACAAGCAATAAAGATATAAACACCACTGAAACATACTCTAGGCATGAATAAAATAAGCAAAACATCATATCTATCCTTAGGCAGTTTACAAACAGGTTGGCAAACAAAGCACAAAACTAGAAATACATTTCATGAAATACATTTCATTGTGGCAAATGAATGGTAACAGGCACACTCTAAAGCAGTAGGCACTGAGCAAATTGACAAAATAGAGAAAAAATGTCAGAAGCAAAACCCCTAGAAATAAAACAATTAAAAAATAAAACACTGGAGAAATATATTGTTCTGGGAACCCAGCTTTGAAAACAATGCAAAAAAGAGAGATTTAATATGAGCCAGGGTATTATAGCAAAAATAAGCAATGTATGCATAGGTTGTATATTTGGGCTTCAGCAGCAGTGGGAGGGATTAAGAAGACAAAATTAGAAGGAAGGCTACCAGGGAACACTTAGCTTGGTCATGCAAAGTTGGAATAGCTAACTGCTGCCAAGCCTGGGTGTTTGAGTTCATATAATACATAAACAACAGAAAGCAACTTTCTAGTAGGAGTAGCCTACAAAACCAGTTTTTAGGAGTTCAAGAAGTCAAATTATACATGAACAGCAGGAATAAGAGAGAGAACAAGGCAGAGTACTAATTAGAAGGCCTGCTGTCCTGCCTCCAAGTCAAGAGACCTAAAAATAAAAAGGCAGTCCACTAAAAAGTAAATGCTGAAGGGAGAGCTGGATTCCCTGTGGGAATGACAAAGGATAAAGGCAAAGGCATAAGGATGCAACCCCATACACCTAAGAACTCAAGTGCAAAGAAAACTCACAGTTAGAAAACAGATATCAGAAGAGGGTAGGAGTTAAAAAGAAGTGTTACAGAGGTCATGTTACAGAAGTCATGGTGGAGGAATTTCACTGAGATAGGAAAATCAATCACCTTGAATGAGGAAGTAAACACACTGAAAGTAAGACTTAACTGCTATGACTAAAGTTGAGCGGCAGTGTTTAAAAAACCCTTTTTACTGAGGTGATAAGAACAGAATCCAGAATACTAATAGTATAGGAAGAGGAGCTTCCAAGTGATAACATCTTAAGGAAGAAGCCTAGCTAAGAAAAGATACAAAGAAACATATTAGAATCAAATAAAAGGAATTTCAGAGTACTCAACGAGATAGAATGTCTTAACATCTTGACATAGTAGGCTGCGTGAAATATTATAAGAAAGCGTAGTTTTTAAAAATATCAGCTCAAGATAAATACAGACAACTGATTAAATATATTTGAATGGCAAGAGATGAATGTTGATGGAAATAGGTGAGATAATAAGGCAGGAAACTCCATCAAGGGTTCCTTATACATATCTCCAAACTGTGAATCTCAGGACAAGAATCAGAATTCCAGTCAAAGGTAGTCACATCTCCTATAAGAGTGTTTACTCTTCAAGTTTAGCCTGGTGCTCATAACACCTTAGCTTGAATTTGAGTGTTTTAATGTTTTTCTTTAACAAATTATGTAAAAATCGCCAAAGATTCCTACACTCAAAATATTGTCGAAAATACTATACTAGAATACTGAAGCAATATGATCTTTTAAGTCACTCACTTATTCACCAAATATAAGCATGCTGATGAATTTTGACAAATATATACACTCATGTAGCTACTACCACAAGCAAAAGCATATCCATCACCCCAGAAAGTTCCTTCATGCTCCTGTGAAGCCAATGCCTCTTCACTCCAGCAAATACTAATCTGCTCTGCCATATAAATTAGATTTGTCATTTCTATAATTTCATATAAATGCAGTCATGCAATATGTACTCTTGTGTCTGGCTTCTTTCACTCAGTATAATGTTCTGACTGACTCATGTTCTTGCAGGTATTAATAGCCCATTCCTTTATATTGCAAATAGTATTCCAATATATTTTCAAACAACAGACACGCTCTAACATACTATGATTACAACATGATCAAACTACATGTTGAATATTTCTTAATTTTTCTTAAAACATTCTTAAGAAACATCAAAAATGAATAAAGCAAAAATGTCCCAGATTTTGCAGATACTAAATAATCAAAGATGGTCAGTTACTTATACATTAAATAGTGTTTTATTATTTAGAAATATACAGTAATAGTCTTAATTTTTAAATACTTCCCTTAATATCGAGTTTTTGTTTCATCTTTATTTTGGGGACTCCTTAATTTGATTCACATTACACTGAGCCTCCAGATCCTTATCAACTATACAGAAATCGAATAGCCTAAGAAGTAAATATTTCAAACCCTGTGGAGAATAAGTACAGAAACTACTGTATTTTTTGGACTATAACACATACTTTCTCCTCCCAAATTTGGGAGAAATAATGGTTGTTAATGCTGCTGTTGAGTTCTGTTTACATTTACATTGGTGAAATATTATGTTATTTATGTTATTAAATATTTTACATTTTTTTCCTTCAAAATTTTTTTTCCTATTTTCCTCCTCTAAAACCTAGATGCATCTTATGGTCTGAAAAATACGGGTAACACAGAATTAGAGTCATGAGAAATTTCTGTCAGGGCAAATCCATTACTTTATTAATGCTAAATGAAAGCATTATAGAATTTAAAAAGTGAAGCAGAAATCTATTAAGTACATAGTATCTAAAACCATTGGAAAATTGTCTCAGTTACCAAACAATATTGATAAAACTGGACTTTAGGATTAAATATAGCTTTAGATACCATAGTAAGATACTTTATTTCATAGAAGAAGATAAACACAGAAGGAGGAGAAAATAATCAAATTCTCAACACCAATCACAGATGACATAAAATGCTTTACAATATCAGAGAGCCTACACCTTGACTGGTAAGTTTTTACCTTCCAATCAATAAGATATGAAGTTATTTTAGAATGGGCCAAATTTTGTCTGAGTCATTCCTTGTCATTCAGGAGGTAGTAAGTTGTACTTCATAGTAAAGTAGACAGTACAGTACAAAAATTACAGTACAGTTTTAAATAAAATTGTATTACTAAAGATTGTATAAGTCTATATTAATACCGAAGTTTAAAAAGTGACCATCACTGACTTACTGATATGTAATATAAAAAAACTTGAGCATGTCAAGAGACTGAAAACAAATCAAGAAAGCCAGAACAGAACATACATATCTACACAAAACAGACAAAACAAGCTTTTATTCATATCCTAACTTGTGAAGAAAAGAAACAAGAAGGGCAATTCAACTTGATAAATAATCTATCCGGCACTTAAATAACTAGTTTCATGATCACAGGTCAGAGAAATTCACAGTTTAAAAACATGCTGACCAACAGTCTATTGGATGACGCAAATTAAAATTATACTACAGAGGAATAATAGTGTGTCCATTTTCACTGCTTTGTAACAAATGACCACAAACATCGCAGCTTAAAATAACATCCGTTCATTATCTCACAATTTTCCTGGCTTAGAAGTCTGGGTGCCGGTTATCTGAGCACACCCGCTCAGGATCTCACCAGGCAGAAATCAAGGTGTCGGCCAGGGCTGCAATTTTCATCTGGGGCTCAGGTCTTTTTCCACGCTCACTGGTTCCTGGCGGAATTCATTTCCACGTAGCTGTCACGGCCAAGGTCACCCTTTTCTTGCTAGTTGTTGGCCAGAAACCACTATCAACCCCCAGAGGCGATCTAACTTCCTTACCACATGAATGTCTGCTTTTTTCCAGGCCAGCACAGCATATCTATAACTTTCTTCTCCCCTTCCAGTCTGCCCTGAGGAAGTCTTATAAAATATCAATGTAATCACAGGAGTTACTATCCCATCACCATTTGCCATAAAATAAAACCTAATTAAGGAGCTGCTATACCACCACATTCACAAGTTCCACAGATACTCAAGCGGAGGGAAAAACACAAGATGCATACACCAGGGGTCAGGAATTTGACTGACCGTCTTAGATTTCAGTCTACCACAGATATGCAAGGGATGCTTAAAAAGAAAAAGAAGAAATGAAATATAAAGACTGGCAGAAAAAGAAAAGACACAGGAAGTTAACACATGAGACCTTGCTGGCCAAACCCCAGGCACTGTTTTTGAAATTCTTCTTTTTTCTTTTTTTTTAAATCTAGAATGTAAGTCTCAGAAAACCTACGTGATTTGCACAAGGTTATACAGTCTGGATCTATCCAAAGGAAATGTTTGAATTAAGAGGTCTAGGTAAATTGTCAGCTAGGTAATTGGTTATTTAATAACCAGTTAATGGTTAGCTAGGTAACTGGTTATTTAAGGTTGGAGGTAGAAGTGAGAGTGAGGAAGCAGGGAAGTACACAGGGAAGTAGGGTAGCAAACAAAGAGAAACATGAGTACAAAGACAGAGGTTCAGCAGACTACACACAGTAAGGAAACTGTAAGTGTGGTCTTCAGTGCAGCACGACTGGAGCATACAGTGAGTGTGTGGTAGGGAATGGATGGAGACAAGCTTAGAGAAACTGTCAGGGGCCAAGTTAATATGGATCTTCTGAAGACTCAATATTTGAGGCTATATGAAGCTATAGAAGCACTTGAGGCAAAGGTATGACGTTACTATATTTGATTTTTAAATAGATTCCTCTGGCAGGAATAGTGTATTATGTATTATTTATCAATACAAGTTATGTATCAGATACATGCAATAAAACTAAGAATTCACAATAGATGCTGAAGAATTCTAGCTAAAACATAAATGTACACAAAAAAGCCAATTATATATATTTTAAAGAGCAAGGTGAAGCTAGAACGAAATGGCAGAGTACATCTACATTGGTATCAAATGCCTACCTTTACTTCACCACCTCCTCCAGCACTTAGCACGCTTTTCCATCCTTGTTCCCTGGCCCTATTTATTCTCTCCAACTTTAGGGAAAAGAAACAAACAAAACACCACTTCAAGTATTTAGTATAAAATACATAGAATACATTTAGTAATGAAATGGAACTCAGTGTCTTCCTTTAAAGAGAGAGTGTGGGTGTGGTGGGGGGAGAGTGTGGAATGTACCATAGAAACACCAATTATCCCCTTACCCTTTCCTTTTCGTGCCTTTTCATCTGCTCAGCCTTCATGAAACTAATCTGTAATAGTTTTAAAGAAAAACTTCTTAGAACTCTTGAAACTAATATCATTCACAGCTTGGCAAGGGAAGAAAAATAGGAGCAAAAAAACTACCTGATCTTTTTGTTTCTTTTCTTTATCAGTAAATTCCGACCCTCTCTTTCTTGCTGCTTCCTTAAATAAAAAAGAACATTTTTTTGTCAATAATAATTTTTATTTTTCCTAGTTACATCAGGAAAGTCAGTACACCAATTGTAGAGCTATGCCTAGGAAGGTAAAAAAATAAGTTAAAGGTATTTGTTTGAAAGAAATAAGGAGGAAAGGTTTGGAGGTTTTCTATAGCTTTTGCTTCTTTTTTTATAATTATTTTTGCAAAGCTTTAAAATAAGCAGACAGATGTCTTTATACCTCAAACATTTTCCTCCTTTCTTCTCCAGGATTCACCTTCTTCAATGGAGTTTGATGGGCCTGGACAAAAAGTAAAACTACAAATTAGATAAGGATTTGTTACCTACATTTGTATCTATATTTGTTTTCTACATTAATATACTTAAATTACAGTAGCTTTCAAGCTTTTTCTAAAAGTAACCCACAATAAGAAATATGTTTCATATCCACTCCCAAAGTTTCACAAAATAACTCTACTATGTTCAGTGGATTCTGTTACTTTCCATTCTATCACTTAAAAAAATGTTCCTGCTCTTCACCCACTAAAATGATTTTGCCACTACTAACAGACAGCAACCCACAGTTTAAAATAGTCCAGAGAGAGTTCTAAGGGCACTATTACTAAAATATAAGGAAAAAAATACAATCATAGATAATGCTCTTCATAATATTATAAACACACAGTTAACATTTCGAAGCATGTTCTATGCACACAAAATTTAAACTAATGAGGAATACTACCCAGGAGCTTTGTAAAAATACATATTCCTTCCACACAAAGAAACATCATTTGGCAATGAAAAGGAAGGACAGATTGATACATGCTACAATATGGATACCTGCTACAGCCTTATAGACATTATGCTAAGTAAAAAAAAGCCAGTCACAGAAGACTATATATTGTGCTATTCCAATTACATGAAATGTCCAGAATAAGCAAATCTATACAGAGACAGAAGTAGAACAGTGATTCCCTAGTGGGGTGGGGGTGGGGAACAAATGGGGAGTGAATGCAAATGGGAAAAAGATTTGTTGGGTGGGGTGATGAAGATGCTCTAAAACTGATTGTGGTGATGGTCACATAATTCTGTGAATACACTAAAAACCTTTAATTCCAAACTTTAAATGGATAAATTATATGGTATGTGAATTATATCTCAATAAAGCTATTTCTAAAAAATATATATCCCCAACAATTGCTGAACCATTATTTCTAAACCTAAAGCCCTGTATTCTGTATTTTGACAAGTTCCACAGATTAACTCCTTTACAACAGATCCAGCACAGGTCTCAGAATTTGTGAGCCATAACACCAAACAATTTAAAAATATTAGTGCAAGTATTATACATCCTTACTCTAAATGACCACATGTTAAATATATTATATAATACAATACAATACAAGAATGTTTAAATGACACCTACACATTCTTAGGTAAGTTACATGAAGTCATAAATTATATTCACCTTTCAAAAAGAATATATGCACCCCTATGTTCATTGCAGCATTTTTTTACAATCGCCAAGATCTGGAAGCAGCCCAAGTGTCCATCAACAGATGAGTAGATAAAACAACTATAGGACATTTACACAATGGAATTCTACTCAGCCATAAAAACGAAGAAAATTTTACCCTTCATAACAGCATGGATGGACCTGAAGAACATTACACTAAGTGAAATAAGCCAGTCAGAGAAAGACAAATACCATATCATTCCACTCGCATGTGGAATCTAAAGAACAAACTGAACTAATAAGTAACACAGAGACAGGTTCATAGGTAGAGAGCAGGCTGACAGCTCTGGATGGGTGGGGGGGAGTTGGAGGGTAGAGGGATTGAGCAAAAATAAAAAAAGAACTCATGGACAACAGTGTGGTGATTTTGGGGGAATGGGGCGGGTGGAGGTGGAAGAAGGTATGGGGGATAAAGGGTAATGGAAAAATAAAATAAAAATAGAAATAATCATAAAAGAAAAAAATATATTCATCTCTTCACATTCCATATTACCTTACATATAAGATACTCAAATAAACTGTTCCTATGAGATCACACAGGTATTTTCAGAATGCTATGTCTATACAAAACAGAAAAATAGGGTAACATAAAATATCCATACTAAGAGAAATGTTTTTTGTTTCTTTTTTAAAATCAGAGCCAAAACACTGAAATGTATTCATGGAGTGCCCTCTGGTGGCTAGATAACCACTTCTTTGTTTTAACAGAAGCCTTCAAACAACAACTGATTTTTACAGAAACTGAAGCAAAGAAAGTGATGATACACAGTATTTTATGATACTCAAAATACACAAGTATGTTGAATAATAATAATAACTTACTGCCTGTGAACTTAAATCGTTGCAATGAAAATGAAATAGAAGACAGTATCATTAAGCAGTATGGTTTTCCTTATGAACTTCTCATTTTTAAGCTTAATAGAAAATTGAAAAATCTAAGATGCTTTAGATTTTCAGAAAAAAAATTACATCCTTTAAAAAAACAGAGTCATATAAAAACCCAAAGGAAAAGCTGATTTTAAAAATCTTATCTAATTTAGATTCTCCCTTTAATTCCATTAATTGTTAAGATTTGAAAAAACTTTTCAGACATTTGATTGACACTTTTTTTCTATTTTATTTCCCTTTTAAATTATTTCTACTTATTTATTATAATAAAAGATACATAAAATTTACCAATGTAATCACTTTTTAATGTTCACCTGAGAATGTTCACTGATTTTAGAGGGAGAAAGGGAGGGAGTGGGAAGGAAGGAGTGGGGGAGGCAGAAAGACAGACAGACAGACAGACAGACAGACAGACGTAGATCTGAGAAACACTGATTGTTTGCCTCCTGGTCCTGCCTTCCCTTCCTCTCTCTTCAAAAGCAATGGAAAAATGTCCTCAGGTGAGGGGAAAAAAACCACAGAGGTAGAAGACTACAACTGACTCCTGGACTTAATACAGCAGTCACAGATGTCCCAGTCAGAAGCTACTACATAACAGCTGTGACAAGAGAGCCCTGAGCAAAATGGATCTGAGAGAAACTGAGAAGAGAGGAACAGGAGGCAGCACAGACAATTCTTTGGGTAAGTTCTGATGTTAAAGAAAACAGATGTAGGGAAGTAGTTGGAGGGAGATATGGGAAATTAGGAAAGATTTTTTTTACAGACTAAAGATACAATATACTTGTTTGCTAACAGGAATGACTCAGTAGAGAGGAGAGATACAATGATGCAGGAGAGCCTGAAGACTGAAGACCTTTAGAAGGTAATAATAATAATAATAATAATAATAATAATAATAATAATGATAATAATAATACAAAGATTACAGAATTGACTATAGTTGAGAACGGTCATCCAAAGTAACAGAAACAGAGACAATATTTCAAACAGATATGACTGACTGGCAGGGTGGTTTTGAGAGTGTAGGGAATTTTTTTTCCAATGCTTCTATTTTCTCAGTGAAATAAAAAGCAAGGTCATTAGCTTGAAGTGAAAAACAAAAAGAAAAAAGAAATAAACATCTAGAAAAGAGGAAAGTAAATGGACTGAGGAAATCTAATAGGGTAATCAGAAGGTACTTATTTGACATTGTTGGTTATACATTTAAAGTGAGACCAGTTTCAATAGGGGCAAGAGAGCTGAGGCTTTGGAATTATAATGTGAGAACATGGAATTTAAGCTAGGAAAGGAAAATACAAACTAGGAGGGAATGACAATGAAAAGCTGGTAAGTTCCATGAGTCCAAATAAGAAAAGTTTTGGAGGCGGAGCTATTGAGGAATGAGCAGCAAACATAGAAAGCAGTGGTCAGGGAGTGGGATGTTTATAATACAGACTACAGAATAGTTGCTATCACTGGTAATATCAGATTCGATGGCATGAGTACTACAGGTGAGAATTCTAAGGTATGGTGGGACACAAGATCACTGAAAGAGAACAATGAAAATAAAAGGCCATGTATTATTGGAAGGGCCATCTTTTTGGATACTGAAATCACCAGGAATTAATACAGAGTTGAGAACAGTGACCACACAGATGACCTAATACAGAGGGGTAACAGATTATTTAGTCTAGTGCCAAAGTTTGGGGAAGGGGTGGGGGGGCTGAGGGAACAGAAAAGAATCTGGCAATGAGAAGGAAACCACCTTCCTCACTCCATCCCTAAACTCAGTGGTATTAACGGATTAGAAAGAAAACAGTCACCAAGTAAGAGAGCTGCCAAACAGTGTGTTTAGACACAAGCCAGGCCTCACACAAAACAGTGAGGACAATCTTCAAAAGTTCAGAAAACTAGGGATTTTGCTGACAACCTACCGTAAGTGGGCTTTGTGGACATATCTGTCTGCTTGTGAATGTTCAAACATAAAAATTTCCCAGATTTTTATCAAGTGTGTCACAGATATTTACTTGTTTTATGTACAAAAACAAATGTCTCCGCTTAGGTTGTTAAAAAATGACTTCATTTATAATATCAGTTTCCTTTTTGTACCAGCTACTTTAGCTGATATGTCTACTTAATGTTTGTGACTTCTGTTTAGGCTTCTTGGTTTGGAAGACTGGTGAAGCAGAGAACAGCAATGTTCTTTAGTAACAAATAAAAGCAATCCTATAAATATCAAGATAACTGAATTGAGCTGCAATAAAATAAAATAAGGTCACAGTGAGTTTGTTACTAATGACACAGTGTGTAACATGACCATACCTGTTTATGTTTTTGAAGTGGTTTCTTTTCATGTAATTTTTTATCTCCATACTTCTTATACGTTAAAGGCACTCCATATTTAGCAGCAGGCTTTGTAATTTTCTGAGCAGACATAACAGAAGCCAAGCTTTGTCCCGAGGAAGGTCTTTTAGCTACATGAAAAGGTAAAAAGAATTTTTTCCAGAGTTCTTTGTTAAACCTTAAATTTTAAAATGCTTCGAGATAGCACTTTCTCGTTTTCATAATCATTGACACTTAGTTTGAAACTTTTCATTAAACATGTTCGCTCCTTAGCATTAAGTCAATGCCATAATTATAACTATTTTACTAATGTTATTTCTTGAAAGAAGCAAAAGCCACACTCCTCTAAGATGCTGAAAGTTCTTGTGGAAGAAAAGCACATCGCTAGAATGGACTGTGGGTGAGGACTGCAGGTGTCTGTGAAAACACCAGAAAGCACTGAACCAAGGACGTCAAAGGGGTGAACTGAATTGTATGTGAATTAACACCTCAATAAAGCTGTTATACACAAGTTTTAAAAAGGACATTCACTGTTTAAGAAATTATTTTCAAAATCAGAACACAAACTTCAAGAACAACTGATAAACATTAATTCTATCACTATCAGAAGCTTGATATATTCTTCATAAACAGTCTGGATGTCTACACTATAGACTGAAGAACACTTTAAAACAGTCATTATAGCTCAGGATCCCATGAAATAGGTACCTTTATATACTCTTGATGGGAATATAAATTGGTCAAACTTTCTAGAGGGTTATCTACACCAAGAACAATGTTTATGAAATGACTTTAAAGAAATAAAGAAATAAAAATGTATACACAGGGATAAACCCTGTAGCATTATGTATTAAACTCTTACTGAAGCCCAGACAAGGTTCAGTCTTAGGCCAATAATACATTCAAGAAAACACAGTTCGAGTAAAGTAACTAAAAGGAAAGCCAACTATTTACATCTTTCAAAGACATTAAAGGAGGTCAAGGAGTGCAGTCCACATCAACACTCAGCAAGACCCGCTTTCCTCTAACTATTCTCCACATCCGCTCAGGGGCCTCTCTGCTCAAGCTGGCTCGCAGCCCAAAAGCAGCTTGCTTTCTGCTCCTTCCAGCCTGCCCTCTCAGGATTTTATCATGTGCTAAATCAATTTAAATCAATGTCTTCCGACAAGCATTCTTCCTTTTCAGGAAGGGAAAGAAGGAAGAAATTAACTGGTAGTTCACAATGAAATACCACCATTAAAACTCAGTTCTTCAAACAATATTTAGCTGTATTAGAAAATAATCACCATATAGTACTGTGAATTAAAAGAAACAAGCTGTTGTTTATAACACAACCCCAATTTTCAACTGCTATACATGTGCTATCACAGAAAAAAAAACAAATATAACTATGTGTTAAGATTAGAGGTAATTTTTATTTTCTTCAATTTTTATAATGAATATCTATTATTCATATAACTTGGTTAACTCATAAAAATAAAAAATATCTATTTGACTGGCAGTTTAGAGATTCATAAGTAATTTGGGTTGAAGATATGAGTATGTCAGAGTAATGTTTTCCAAACATATACTCCAACTATATCCTGACAGGAACTAGGAAATGCAAAAAAAGTTTCCCTATGAGAGTTCAACTGTATTAATTCAGCCTACATACAAAGTTGCAACACTGTAACCTGGACACATGTATAAGTATCACCCAAGGAATATTGTGCATGCCAGAAAAGGGGCAAGAGGCACAAAAGTGTAAAAATGAAGAGTCCCAAGCCACTGTGTGACTAGTTCCCATTTACTTTCTAGAGAAGAAGAATTACTTACCGGATTTTTTACCATTTCTCAGGCTCAAGAAACAAGGCCACCAATGGGATGAAGTTTAATATAGGGAGTTGGAGTCCACAAAATATAGGCCCATCAGCAATACGACTCCTATTTTAGCCCCATGCTATTAAATATTTCATCTATCTAACTCTTACAACAAAATAATTTTCTAACTTGTACGTAGGCTTACCCATGTGGAAAGAATGTGGTGGCGTGGGGTATTTCTGGCCTTTGTGACAACGAGGCTTTTCATTAAGACTTGACGTCTCATGAGACTAGACTTTGACTGCCAAGAGAGACATGCTGATTTTGCTGTGTCTGTCCTCATGAATTTTATTTAGAGTGAACTGATTTTTCAGGAACTGACAGTCTCTCACATTGAGAGGATGGGTCTCAGAGTCTTCAAGAAGAGCTAAGTGTAGCTGGCCTTTCTGAGAATGTACTGCCACACCACTTCCAGCTTACAGAAACTCAGTTTCTGATACAGTATTTATTATTATTAATTTACTCAAACTCATAATGGAATAGAACATGAAAAACAATATGTTTTAAAAACAAAATACTCTTCAAATCTTAAATAATGTCCATGGAATTTAGAAATCCATTCTGAAGCCATTCTATGTAGAAAAAGTATAATCTCACTTTTACACACATATATGCATATACATACACATGGCATAAAAACTATACCCACAATGTTACAAATATTCTACTGTTAATGCCCACATTTAAAAAAACTATCCATGGCAAAGTACCTAATTTCACATTAATTAATTTATTTAAAATTATAGAATATGAAGGATTTCTCCAAGAAAAATATTTTACATAAAGATGTACACACTGCCCTGGCTGGTGTGGCTTAGTGGATTGAGCACTGGCCTGAGAACCAAAGGGCCACCAGTTCAATTTCCAGACAGGGCCCCTGTCTGGGTTGCAGGCCACATCCCCAGTAGTGGGTGCTTGAGAGGCAACCACACACTGGTGTTTCTCTCCCTTTCTTTCTCCCTCCATTCCCTTCTCTCTGAAAATAAATAAAATCCTTTAAAAAACCCTACAAAAAAAGAGAGCATCAAAATATTTTTTAAACAGATGTACACACTTAGGTTAGACATTTTATAACATTCGATGGCAATATTTTCAGAATATCACTTAAGTTTTTGATAAAGATAAAAAATTTCAAGACAGACTATTTATTCGAGACAGACAGTGAAACGTAACAAAGGGCCTTCTGTACAGATCCGTTACATCATGTGTTCCTCGGCCTCACTGCAGGTTTCACTCAGTGTAGATGTGCTGGTTTCTAAAAACTCTACCACATTAATGGAGTGCAAACCCATCACCAAATGACAACCAGAGAAGGAACAGAACCTACCACTGAAAAGTGGTCATTAAAATAATGAGTCTGTGTTCAATGCATATTAACATATTCACGTACAGAATTTCAGTACACTGTCTTTGAAGCAGCTTTTTCTTTGGTCATGAAGTGTAGCAAGGTATTGATCAAGCTTTATTTGTTTATCTACAGGCACTTCTTAAACCCTAGGACCATCCTCAATGTCCTAGAAATTTTTAATTCCTCGCCCATGGAAGGCATTTCTTACAGCCCAGTATGTGGCCATCACAGACCACCATGCCTGGCTGGTGCTGCACACTGACAAAGGAAGATGGAAGCTGCTACAAACAGGGCCCAATGGGAAACACTCAGCTGCAGGTCATGCCTGAGTGTGGCTGTCATGTCAGCACTGGTCCTGGATGTGCTGAGGAGGACATCCAGAGTCCAGGCTTCTCTTGGGGAGGCTGACAGTGCAGCACCAGCAGATACCAAGTTATGAAGTGACTCCTAATTTCTCCTCCTCCACTATCATTTTATTAACTCTTTTAATTCTTAAAAATTTTTTCAGTTACAGTATATGGACAATACTATACTAGTTTCAGGTGTATAATGTGGTCATTGGACATTTGTATAACTTACAAAGTGATCAGTCCAATAAATCTAGTGCCCACCGAGCACCATATATAGTTATTACATTACTGACTACATTCCCCATGCTCTTATTCACATCTCAGACAAATTTCATTTAAGTAAGGTAGGCAAATGGAAATTTTGTTATTAATTCATGCAAAAGTATTACATATTGTCATATCATAAATAATTTAAAAATGCATTTTCTCTGGATTAAATTTATCTACAATTACCTCAATTTATTATATCTACATATATCACTAGGCTATAAGTGATATAAGTGATTGGTAGAATAAGTATTACCAATTAGCAAAATTAGTATATTAATTACTGCAAACAGGTGAAAGGATTTATTTACCTGGTATAAGCTGTACTCCAACCTTGGAAAATGTTTTTAGACAAAATTCTTCTGCAATAAGCTTAGAATGAAAGAGGGGGAAAAAGTTAGAAAAGATGTTCAATTTCCAAAATAAAAAACATACCCATTAATCAGAATACATTTTTTTCCTTTCTGAGTAATAATCATCCTGCCAAATAAACTATATTAATTAAATCCAAATAATCTATTCACAGAAATTCCCCTCTGACTAACCTCCTTCCAATCTTACCAATTTATTTTTATGACTTCTCCGAACACGTTTTCTTTTCAAATTAGCCTAATGCACCACAAGCCCCCCCACCACACTGCTTACCTGTGCTGTATCTCAGCAATTTAACACAGGTACCTCCTACCTGAGATAACCTCCACCTGTATTTCTGTGTACTCCTATCTCTTATTTACTTCAAAACTGATCAAGAATTACTTCATAATCCCCTTCTCAGATTAATCTCTCAGTTCCGTCTGCTTTACTGACTCTTCTCACCATCTCCAGTGAGTTTTCGCTCTTATCAATGTATAATTGGAAACATATTTTTGGATAGTGTCAGAACTGAATTGACTGGTAGAACACCCACTCAGCTGGTATCACAGGATTGCCTGGTGTGGGGGAAAGCTACCACACAACTGGCGATCAGAAGTTATGGATTAAGTGTTAAGAGGAGACACAGAAGGAATGTTTTCCTTCTTACAGACTCACAACTGAAAAGCAAATCAGGAGGGAAAGTTACAGAGGAATGGAAAAGAAGGTGACTCCACTATGGTTTGAAAATAGCATTTCATTCTCCCAAAGTTCCAATGCACTTCTCTCAAAGCAGAGGAGGGCATGTTCTAGTTAAGTACCATGACCCAAGTGTTCAATTTAATTCTAATGTAAAAATACATACCTGAGGTGAAAGAAATTTTTCAATGCGTTTGGCTATAAAGCCTTTCTCCAATATGGAGTTGACTGATGGTCTATCCCTAGGATTTCTTTTAAATAACTGAGAGAGCAAACAGCGGAGATCATAAGAATAATGCAAAGACACAGGCGGAAAAGACCCAGATATTATCTTCAGTACTAGGTTTTTCATGTTGCCAGCTTCAAACTGAAATTCAAAAAAAATAAATTAACATGTATAGAATATATACAAACACACACACATATATATCTCAAAAGTGGAAATATCAGCAATGACAAATAGTTCATTTCCTATCAATATAGAACAGAAATAGTCCTCTTTCAAATATTTTAATCAGCATATTCTCTAGAGCAAGGTTCTCTTGGTTATTTTTATTACTAGGTTATTTATAAACATATTTAAAAGAAAACACCAGTCCTCATAATACGTATAACTTGCTGTAAGATTTTTACTTATTGAAAACACTAAGAGATGGGATATAAAGATTAAAGATTTTATCAAAACATGACAGTAATAAAGATGGTAAAACAAACCTGGTAGTATTCATTTAAGACCTACCTTCCTATGCTGCTATTGTAATAACTACAACAAGAAACCAACTCCAGAACTAAAATATTTTGGGAAAATAAAATAAATAAAAGTACTAATTACTTTCCTTTTAAACACTGCTCATTATTATTAAGCATGTGATGTCTATTTTGTGCCTACCATTTATACTTCTTATTCCTTGTACCTTTTTCTCCATTCTCCCCCCACCCCCTCCCCACTGCTAACCCTCTATGTAATCTCCATTTCTGTGATTCTGTTCCTGTTCTAGTTGTTTTACTTAGTTTGTTTTTGTTTTCTTAGATTCAGTTGTTGATAATTGTGGGTTTATTGTCATCTTACTATTCATAGTTTTGATCTTCTTTTTCTTAAATAAGTTCCTTTAATATTTCATATAATAAGGGTTTGGTAATGATGAACTCCTTTAACTTAACCTTATCTGGGAAGCACTTTATCTGCCCTTCCATTCCAAATGAGAGCTTTGCAGAATAGAGTAATCTAGGTTGTATAAGGTCCTTGCTTTCCATTACTTTGAATACTTCTTTCCAGCCCTTTCTTGCCTGCAAAGTTTCTTTTAAGAAATCAGCTGACAGTCTTATGGGCACTCCTTTGTAGGTAACTGTCTCCTTTCCTCTAGCTGCTTTTAAGATTCTCTCTTTATCTTTAATTTTAGGAAATGTAAGTATGATGTGTCCTGGTATGTTTCTCCTTGGGTGCAACTTATTTGGGACTCTCTGAGCTTCCTGGACTCTCATGTCTAGTTCCTTCGCTAAATAGGGGAAGCTTTCCTTCATTGCTTTTTTCAAATAATTTTTCAATTTCTTGCTGTTCCTCTTCTCCTTCTGGCACCCCTATGATTCAGATGTTGAAATGTTTAAAGTTGTCCCAGAAGTTCCTAAGCCTCTCCTCATTTTTTTGAATTCTTGTTGTTTCATTCTGTTCCGGCTGAATGTTTCTTTCTTCCTTCTGTTCAAAATTGTTTATTTGAATTCTGGTTTCCTTCCCTTCACTGTTGATTCCCTGTATACTTTGCTTTATTTCACTTTGTGTAGCCTTCACATCTTCCTTTATTTTGTAACCATGCTCAGTGATTTCTGTGAGCTTCCTGATTACCACTGTTTTGAACTCTGTATCTGATAGGTTAGCTACCTCCTTTTCACTTAGTTCTTTTTCTGGAGTTTTGATCTGTTCTTTCATTTCAGCCATATTTCTTTGCCTCAGTATACCTGTTACATTGTAAGGGGGCAACTCACTCTTCTGTATGTAGGGGAGGGGTCTGAGAGGGAACAATGCCATTTTCTCAGCTCTTGGTGGGCTTTCAGTCACTTCCCCTGCTACCCGCAAGCAAATTGAGCCCTTCTGGTGCTGATTCCCAGGTGGGTGGGTTTGTGCATGTTCTAGGACCCTGTAGGTGTCTCCAACAGTCTCTCCTATGAGACTAAGAGTTTTCCTGCCACTGCAACTGATAGTTTTTAATAGCCAGAGGTTTTGAGGCTTTAGTTTCCCATTCTGGAACCCTGGGTTGTACAGTCTGTCTTGTCCCCCAGTTGTTCTTCCCAGCTTACCCACATGTGAATGTAGGATACCCCAGTCCAACAGCCACTGTCTTGCCTACCTGGTTCGCCAGCCGCTGCCTTGTTGTGAATCCTCTCTGCCCCAGCTTCCTCTATCCGCCCCTCCTACCAGTCTGGATGAATGTTTCTTCTTTAACTCCTTGGTTGTCATACTTCCATACAGTTCAATTTTCTGGAAGTTGTGGTTGTTTTTTGTTTTTAAATTGGTTGTTACCCTTCTTTTGGTTGTGCGAGGAAGACAAGCATATCTACCTATGCCTCCATCTTGGCCAGAAGCCAAATAATAACACTTCTTACATAAAAATATCAAATTCAAATTCACACATGAATTTAACATTAAAAAGATGGCAAATTTATTTGTCTTTAGAAGTAATTTTCTAGAAAAAAGTATAATATATGTATTATAATAAATATAAAATATTTATTACGTAAAAATATCAAATTCACACATGAACTTAACATTAAAAAGATGGCAAATTTATTGTCTTTAGAAGTAATTTTCTAGAAAAAAGTATAATATATGTATTATAATAAATATAACTATGTAAAATATTCATATATATTAAGAGAAAATAAATTAAAATTTATACTTCAGAGAAGCTGAGAAATTTAAAAACTGACAGAATTTCTAGTACAGCAGGGTCTCTGAAAGATGCATTATGATTATTAAAAAAATAAAAATATAATCACTTTTGACATAATTTTTAAAATATTTCAGAAACTCCTACTTACTGCATGTTTGAGAGTGCACATCTCATAAAGGACACATCCGAGAGCCCAAATGTCACTAGGAAACAGATGAACAAAAATTTTTTGTAAGTATCAGATTTTACTTAATATTTTTTCATGTAAAGAAAACAATACCAATATGAAAATGCTTTGCAAAAATGTGTTCCATGAAACATGTCCTTTAAAACTTAAAATTCCAACCATAACCAAATGATGAAAGCAGCTATCCCAGATGAGAAAAACAATGGCTGTCCACACAATTATTTTAAAGTTTCATTAAAGAAATTTAATAAAAACAATTTCAGGTATCCCATTGTTACTTTATTTCACAAGTCAAAATGCTTTATTCAATTATTTGCAAAATATATGGTTTTAAAAAAATGAAAGGAAAATACTACTTTAATAAACATGAAAAAATATTAATTTACTAAATTCATGTCTCAAATAAACCTGTGACAGCCAATTAAAATATTATATAAGAGTAAATATATTCATTGATTTTATTCTAAATTAAAGGCTTAGGCCCTGCCTGGTGTGGCTCAGTGGACTGAGTGCCAGCCTGTGAACCAAAAGGTCACTGGTTTGATTCCCAGTCAAGGCACATGCCTGGGTTGCAGACCAGGTCCCCAGTATGAGGTGCATGAGGGGCAGCCACACATTGATGTTTCTCTCCCTCTATTTCTCCTTCCCTTCCCTTCTCCCTAAAAATAAATAAATAAAATCTTCTTACAAAGGAAAGGACTTAGTTATACTATCTTCCTTATACCTGATCTCTTCTATCTTAAAATAAAGAGGTATTTTTATAATTAAAAAAACTACCTCTGTTTCTGAAAGAAAAAGAAAGGCACTCATAGTTCAGAGTTATAGTGGTCCTTAGAAGTCAACAAAAGCAAAAACCACAGCTCCCTCAAGCTGAACTTAATGGAAAAGAATAAAACCCATTATTGAAATCCTAAGATTATCTTTACCAGAAGTTTCACAAAAATCTACAAATATAAATTTATAATCCCTATTTTCTATTTAATTTCTAGATTCAGTTGAGAAAAAAGGTAAATATAATTAAGCTAGGTAGTAACTTGTGCATGTTACAAATTAAACAGCATAAACAAAAAACATTAATGATCCTATTAATAAAATACTTTAAAATACATTTATAAAATATGAATTCTGAAGTATAATGATGCTCATCCACATTTTAAAGCATTTTCTCCACAAAATTAATTCTATATAAAATTGTTTAAAGGATGATTAAATCCATTCTTAATTTGAAGAATTATTTTCTTTTACAGTTGACTTATCCACAAGACACAGATGTAACATTAAAATGTGAAATTAGCTGAAAGAAAATACTGTTATCTTTTAGAATATCTACTAATAATACATTCCATGGACTAGACTGATTATTGTAATACAAGTTGATTTTAAAAATACATTGCTGGAATGATGTTCTCAATCTCTACTGCTAGAGTTTAAAACACAGCTTCGTCCTCATTCTCAAAAAAGTAAATAAATAAATACAGGGAAGAGAGAGGACAGATAGCAACCACAAACAACATGCATTATGGCCAGCCACTGCTTTCTTCCTTTTAGCTTCTATGAGCACTTTCAAAATTGAAACCACTGTTTTTTCTATCACAATGACTGAGAGAAAATAAAGGATAATTGGATTTCAGTGGCAGGATTCCTCTTCCCACCAACATAAACAATCTGGTAACCACAATACAACACAGTAATTAGAAAATTGAGATTGTAGGCCAGATGCCTGGACTTCAAAGTTACTTTATATCTGTCTGCATCTGATTTCCTTATAAGGAATGGAGACATGATTAACACACATGATTAATATATACAATTTACAAGATTATTATAAAGATTAGGAGTTAAAACACAGAAAGCATACAAAACAATGCCCAGTGTAGAGAAAATCTTCAATAAATATTAACCATTATCACTGAATAGAAAGTTACCATTACAAAAGACCAAAGAAAGCAGTCTATTTCCAAATATAATTTAAATAATACATAATTTTTTCTATAGATTATTTAGCATGATAGTAAAATAGCTTCTTAACAATTACCCTCATCATATACTTTAAAAAAAATGTGTGTGGCCCTGGACAGGTGGCTCAGTTGGTTGGAGCATCGTCCTGTACACCAAAAAGCTGTAGATTTGATTCCCAGTCAGCGCTCCTACCTAGGTTGTGGGTTCAATCCCCAGTTGGGGTGTGTACAGGAGTTAACCAATTGTTGTTTTTCTCTCTCTTTTTCTCTCTAACCTCCTCATCCCTTCCTCTCTCTCTAAAATCAATAAAAATATATCCTTGAGTGAGAATTTTAAAAAATGTATGTATGCATATATATACACATACATGTATATTATTGATTTTAGAATAATATTCTCAAGGCTAATATATATAGTTAACATAAAGATTTAAAGAAAATACACATGTAATAATATTTTACATACCTTTTATTATTGTAAGGTTTGTTTTCACAGATTTCAGGTGACAAGTAGTATGGGGTCCCTATGCAAGTCCGAGCCAGTTCGACAGTACTGAAACAAAGAGAATTATTGGAGAAGCTTCAGATACTTAAAGATATAAATTATCACATATATATCATCATGAATTAAAATTTCACTGAAGACATATCAAAATTTAAAACTGATATTTTACCTATTAAGAACTCTAGCAATTCCAAAATCTCCAAGTTGTATTGTCCCATCTCTAGTTAAAAATATATTCTGTAAAAGAGAGAAGAAAACAGAATTATTATTACAGTTCAGTTCTGAGTCAAATTTTCATAAAAAATAAATGCAGCTTAAAGAAATGCTAGGATAACTCGCCATCTACATGCAAAAGAATGAATACAAACCCCTTTCACATATCATATACAAAAATTAACTCAAAATGGACTCTGTACCTAAACACAAGAATTAAAACTATAAAACTTCTAGAGGAAAATAGAGAAATAAATCTTCATTGGGTTAGTGCAGATCCCTGTGCACCATCCAAAAAATAAAAATAAATAAAAAATAAAAGTCTAATGAAATAGATATAAAAACTTTTAAAATTTCCAATAATTTACCAATTTTGCACTTATAAATACAGAACTCCAATATATTTATAAATACAGAACTCCAACACTCTACCAAACAGTGAAGTCAAGAGTTTGTGGAATAAACTCTTGTGAATTAAAATTCCATCTGTATCAGTCAGGAGACTTGAATCAGGTACATGACCACAACTAAAAATAACACAAAGTGGGACTGATGGGGATGGGGTAAAATGGGGTGAAATGGGACCAGGTGGCAGGCGTTGGGGAACAGGAAAGACGGGGGTGGAACTTCCACCACAGTTCCTCTCCTTCCCACTGCTCTCTCCTGCAGGGGCTTAGGCTACAAAGTAGCTGCAAGTGTGAGATAAGAAGACAAACACTCCAGCCTTAACACAGGAAATAAATTCCCTCTGTACTCCCCACTCGGGAACTGAGAGTGCCTAAGTGAGGCAACGTTGAAATCTCTCTGCAAAGATGAATGAGTTGTGGGGACAAACCATACACGTAAAGGAATATAATGTAAAGAAAACTAGCCAAAAAAACACCAGAACAAAAATTCACTCCAGCTAGAATTTATATTGTAAAACAGTCCAGCAAAAACTCCAAAGATGTTAAGAAATTGCAAAGAGATAAATGAAGGGATAAATATCCATTTAAAAAGCAAGACATTGTAAAGGAAGAACCAATAAGAACAGATGTGAAAATTCATTTTAACGTCTTGAAGAGAACAAAATTATTATTAAAAAATAGATTCAATTAATCACTAGTTTACACAAAACTTAAAAGGCAGGGTGAGGAAATCACCTAGGATGCAATAGAGAGACAAAAAATTAAAGTATGCAACAAATACGATACTTGAAGGGATAGATTAAGAAGCTCCACCACATGTCTAGAAAAAAATCCGGGTGACAATCATGAAGATAGTAACAGAGAAATAGTATCTGAAAAAATATAACATTTCCTGGCAAATACACCTTTTCTGATCAAAAGTGCACAGCAAAATGAATAAAAACTGGCCCTCACCAATGTGCAACACTGAAATTTCACAAAAATGGGGACAGACACAATATCCTAAAATCTTCCAGAGAGAAGAAAAAAGGATGAGAAATAATAATGGCTTTAAATTCCTAAACAGCAAGTATAAGACAAGAGACAAATGAGCAATATCTTCAAATTTCTGTAGGGAAATAATTTCCAACCTAGAAAGTGATATACAAATTATCATGAAAGAGAATGGAATAATGTCATCTCAAAAAATATACCTTTCACACATCCATTTTTGGTATATTTTTCTGTTATAGTGAGAAAGTAAATCAAGAAAGAGGAAGTAAGGAGGAGATCTAACCCATGATGCTAATGAAAACTCCTAGGATTAGAGTGCAAGGAGAAAACATAATCTGATGCAGGCTGAATTGGGTTCAAAAATTCTGGCCCAAGACAATGCCGCTTCCATGTCCATATTCATTCAGAAGATGTTGGTTAACAGAACAAACATACCTGTGATTTTATGTCTCGATGAAGAATTTTTCTATCATGTACATGTTTCAGGGCCAAACATATCTGTACAAACCAGTCCAAAATCTAGGGGGGGGAAATAAGATCTGTTATTTCTTTTAAAATTTACATTTCACAGTATTCTTTCCTTGACCACTAAAAAGATTCAGGAACAGTTGGGGTTGAAGGGAACTAAATCTTTTTAAAAAATTTAGGCTCTAATTTATTTTTAATGTGTAGTCACTAACATTACATAAATATTCAAGCCAATGGACACATTATGTGCAAGGCACATACTAACTTTACAATGTAAGAGACCGCTACCGAAGCATCTCTTATAAGTAAAAATAAATATGGAGAGACATTTCTAGAGAGGAGTGAAAATAGAAATAACTTCTATTTTATGATTGTGGGTGACTTTGTCTTTAAAATATATCTTTTTTTCTATAATTCTTTTTTTTACATGAATAAAAATCATGAGAGAAAAAAATCAGGCTGGAAACTTGGACAACGTCTCTTCCTTCTTTCTCTCCCCACATTTACCGTATACAAACACATTTTAGAGTTGGCCATTGGAACTAAAAAGGCTTAATTTATTCCTCAGACTATACAAAAATAATTCCAAGTAGTTGGCATTTTGAAACAAAAGAATTATATAAATAAAAAAACAAATTAATTTTCTATAATCTATGATTAAAGCAGGAGTTTCAAAACATGACACAAACCCTCCCAAGTCACAAGAAACTAGAATGAGAAAGCTGACTCTATAAAATTTAAAGCATCTGCATGATATAATACATAATCAAGCTTAATAATTATATGAAAAAATACCTGCAACATAATTGATAGATTGCTAATTCTCTAATATGCACAAGTTAATTTCGCAGTGATTCTTCCAAATCACTGCGAAAAATACTGGCAACCAAAATAAGAAGTGGACAAAAGACTGGAAGGGCAAATGACAGAGGGGGAAAAAAAACAATAAACATGTATACAAAATACTGACCTCCCTCCAAATTAAAAAATAAAAGTATGACATCTGAACTTGAGAAAAATGAAATAATATACAATGTTGGTCAGAATGTGGGGAAATAGGTCTTTGTATACCTTATTTGTGGGAAAGTTAATTACAGTCATTTTGCAAAGTATGTAAAAAATTTAAACTCACATACCATTTGAAAGAGCAACCTGCAATTTTAAATTTATCCTACAGATATAGTATCACAAATACAAAAGGGTGTGTACAAGAACATTTACCCTAGCACTGTTTGTCAGAGCAAAAAATATAAACAACCTAAATGTTCATCAAGAAGCCTGGTTCAATATATTGTGATATCACTGTACTTAAAATACTGTGTTTCTTTTCACCTGAAAAGAAACAAGTTAGTTCTATGTACACTGTTAAGTGAAAAAAAGAAAGTTACAGAAGAGTATGCACAGCATACTCCTATTTTTTAAAATATGTTTGTGTATATTAAATACCTAACTTCATATAACTGTATATTAAGTGGGTGGTATTTGTAAGAAGGAATGAAAGAATAGAGCGATGACATACAGAAAGATAGCTACCAATCAGGTAACAGTATTTATTTACCTAAGGGGGGGGGGACAGAATGAAAGGTCAGTAACAAGTTTCCCTTTTACTATTATCTCTTCTATATTTTTTAAATAATAAATATTACATTAAAATAACCTAAAATTAATTTTCTTTAAAAAAATCAAGCCTCTCAGTTCAGTTCAACAGATAATTACTAAGGACTACATGCAAATTTTAAGATCCTTTCCATATTCACATAAGGCACTATAAGAAGAAAATGAAATAATAGTTCTCTTGACTTTGAGGAGTTCATATGGAGAAATGTAAACAAATACCTATAATAAAATGCACGAGTCTTACAATGGCAATTAGCATGCTGAAAGCATTAATTCAACCATGGAAGGTCAGAAACAAGTACCAAAAGAAGATGAAAATTATGCTCAGCTGAATCTTATTGTTAGACTAGTAGACTACTAGTAGACTACTAGACTACTAGACTACCAGTAGACTGGTAGGCAGTCTACCTGCAGAACCAGAACACATCCAGAAACCACCCAAGCCTCAACTTACGGATAGGGTTGTTTGCTACCCTATCTCCCACACCTGGGCTCCTTTACAATTTTACAAAAGTATTCAGCAGCCGTGATGTACCTAGTAGGTACAGGAAGCAACAAAAAGTAAATAAAGGTGCTCATTGACCAAGGATCAGCAAATTTATTCTGTAAAGGGCCAGACGGTAAATACTTTAGGCTTTCCAGGCCATATGGTCACTGTCTGCACCCTACTTTGCCACTGTAGTATAAAAGCAGTCACAGATTATACGCAAACAAACAAGTATAACTTACTTCATTAAGATTTGCTTACAAACGCAGACAGTGGACTGACTTTGTCCTACAGGCCACTGTTTGCCAGTCCCTATCAAAGACTACTGAGGGAGATAAATAAACCAGAGAGTGTTGAAGAAGCACAGAGGAGAGCCTGGAGGTGATGAAAAAAGTTGAACAGATGTGGTTCTAGAGCTAATTTTGATGCAAGGTATCAACAGAGCTGAGTCCATTACACTAGGGCTGGATTACTTGCAGGTGGAATTGAGGGAGAGGGAAGACCCTTAAATTGTAACTTGACTTCTGATCTCTCCTTTTTACGGTACTTCCTTGTACACATTAACTTTTCATATTAACTGTTACACAATACTGCTAGGATAATGGCATTCTCTTGCCCAATAGGCCTAACGATTCAAATGTTATGACACGTTGAACAAGCCCAAACACCATATGGTAATTATATATACACTTGTCTGAATTACAGCTTTGTGTATATAACTTATTTCCACTACTATAAATTGCCTTAAATCACTAAAATAATACTGCAATACCCCTGCTCCAAAATACAGGTTCTTTTGATGGTAATAAAATGTGTCAAAATTCTTCTCAAGAATGCTGAGTTCTAATGGGCTTATTAAGAAAAAAAGCTTGAGCCCTGGCTGGCGTAGCTCAGTGGATTGAGCACGGGCTGGGAACCAAAGTGTCCCAGGTTCGATTCCCAGCCAGGGTACATTCCTGGGTTGCAGGCCAAAACCCCCAGCAACCACACACTGATGTCTCTCTCTCTCTCTATCTCCCTCTCTTCCCTCTCTAAAATAAATAAATAAAATCTTTAAAAAAGAAAAAAAGCTTGAGAAACTTTCACTGTCAAATATATTAATAAAAAAATAGAACTTGGCTTTCTCTGTATTAGAGCAGGAAATGATCTTAGCGCATCCAATAAGAGGTAATAGCTTACTTGCTATTTACCTTCTGTGCAATTTGCCCAGAAAGCAGCAGATATTCCATGTCCAGCGGAATAGTTTTCTCTGCTTTGAGCAGCAATTTTTTTTTTCAACAAAGGTTTCTCAACTATGAGTGAGCTAAGGATCCTAATATTGTACAAACTTTGTATATATTTTTTCAATTTTTAATTGTAGTAAAATACACATAACGCAAAATTTACCACCTTAATCACTTTTAAGTATATAGTTCGGTGGTATTAAATATTCATACTTTTGTGCAACCACCACCAACCATCCAACTCCAGAACGCTTTCATCTTGCAAAACCGAAACTCTGTAACCATTACACAGTAATTCTCCATTCCCCCTTTCTCCCCAGTCCTTGGAAATCACTATTCTACATTCTGTCTCTATGATTTTTTTCTACTTGAAGTACCTCATATGAGTGGAATCATACAGTATTCATCTTTTTGTTACTCGCTTATTCCACTCAGCATAATGTCCTCAAGGTGGATCCATGTCATAATATGTTTCTGTCCCCTTTAAGACTGACTTATATGAAGCTTATTTCTGTCATTTTTCTATTTATTTTACATATGCCTTGTAGCTTTTTATGTCCCTCACTTTCTGCATGACTGTCTTCTTTTGTGTTCAGTTGATTTTTTTTGTAACAAAACATTTAAATTCATCTCACTTCCTTTTGCATATATCCATCCTCTATTTTCTTCGCAGTTTCCATGGGAATTTCATTTAATTTCCTAGTTATAATACTCTAATTTGGATTTGTACCAGCTTAACTTCAGTAACAAAAATTCTACTCCTTTACATTTCCACACCATTCCTTTCAGTTTTTGATGTCACAAAATTACATTTATATACATCTTTCTGTGTCCAAAAAGAAACTGGTAATTTTTAAAAAACACAGGTCTCTTAAATTAGTGTAGAAAACAACATGTGGAGTTACAAGTTATAATACTAGCTTTTAGACTAAATAATTGCTTTTTTAAAAATTTTATTTGTTTTTTATTTTAATTGTTGTTCAAGTACAGTTTTCTGTCTTTTACTCCCATCCTAGCCCACCCCCCACTCTAAATAATTGCTTTTTAAAAATGAATTAGTCCCTTAAATTCTGTAGAAAGCAAAAAGGGGAGTTACAAACATCATTATGATAATAAGCTTTTTTAACTGCCTATGTATTTACCTTTTCTGAGATCTCTATTTTTTCATATGGCTTCAAGTCACTGCCTAGTGTTCTATCATTTCAATCTGCAAGACTCTCTTTAGCATTTCTTTCAGTGCAAGTTGAGCAATAATAAATAAGCTCAGCTTTTGTTTACTTGGGAATATCTTAATTTCACTCTCATTTCAAAGGACAGTTTTGCCAGATACAGGGCTTTTGTTTGACAGTTTTTCTTGAAGCACTTAAATACATCAGCCCAAGTCTTCTGTTCTCTAAAGTTTCTAAAAAGAAATATGCTGATAATCCTACCAAATTGCTGGTATATGTAATACAGCAAAGAGAGGCACTTCTCTCTTTGTCTTTTGACTTATAACAATTTAATTACAATGTCTTGTTGTAGGTCTATTTGAGTTGAACCAACTTGTTGAGCTTCCTAGATATTTGTATTCATGTCTTACAACAAATTTGGAAAATTTTCAGCATTAATTCTTCAAATAATCTCTCTGCTCCTTTCTTTCTCTCCTCTTTTTGGGACTCCCACAAAGCATGTGTACGTCTACCAGATGTTGCACAGGTCCCTCATGACCAGTTCACTTTTCTTCTAGTTTTGTTTTTTTTTTGCCCCTCAGATTCAATACTTTCCACTGTCATAGCTTCAATTCAGCAATTCTTCCTTCTACCTGCTCAAACCCGTTTGAATTCCTGTAATAAATTTTTCATTTCAGTTACTGTATTTTTTGGCTCCAAAACTTCTTTTTGGTTACTTTTTAGGTTTTACCTTAGCTTTCTCAACTTTCTCCATGTCTTCCTTTAGTTTTTTTTTTTTTTTTTTTGAGCATATTTAAAACAGTTGTTATAAAGTCTTTGTCTAGTAGATCATCATCAGGTCTTTTTCAGGGACAGTCTGTTTATATTTCCTTAGGCCATACTTTCCTGTCTCTTTATATGCGCTTGTGATTCTGTTGTTGAAAACTCATTATTTAAATCTAATTATGTGGTAACTATGACAAAAAGATTCTCCCCCAGGGTTTGCTGTCTTGAAATTTTTATTGTTGTTTTTTAAATTGTCATACACTGTGTCTGAGCTAAGAATCAGCCTGAGGTATAAACTTAAAATCTTCTGAGGTCTTTTTTATGCCTGCATCCTTCCCTATCTGTGCATGGCAACTTTTTAATCCCCCTTGTATATGTGGTTGCTTTTGAATGTCTTAGTTTGTAATGTCTGGCTTCCAAAAAGGAAAAGAAAGAAATGAAGCAGGAAATAAAAGGGTGCTTGCCTGTCAAATTCCCTAGAAGTTACTTCAACAAGAAGGGATGGGGCTTGTTTCAATGGGGTGGGGGTTGCCTGCTTCTTCGTCTGTACCTTGGAGATCAGAAGCAGCTAGCAATTATCAGATCACAGATCGCCAATATCTGGAGGACAGGGGCTTTCTGTCCAGCCTGGCTCCCACAAGGTGCAGGCAAGCTGCTCCCGGAATGCCCACATCGCTGGCTGCCTTAGCACTCATAGGTATGGGACGAGTAGCTGCTACTACAAAGCTAAGAGTTGCAGTTGGCTGAAGTTAGCCATAATTTACTATCCAAGTCTTTCCCAGGAAGTTGCAAGCCTTCAATAGACTCCAGAGATCCAAATTAGTTACATAGAAAAGACTCTGCCACTGTAATTGTTGTAATCGTGGGGAGATAGATTCCTAGTGCTTTCTACTTTGCCATACTCCCAGAATCCTCTCCATCTGCATTTATTTTCTGCAATATTTTGTTACTTTGCCCTATCTTAATCAAGAAACCAAATCTCTGACAACTCTTTAGATTTTCACCTTCCCAAGTTTAGATTCTAAATTTAGAAAAAATAATGTTCAGTTTACCTCTCACTATATATAAATTAGTTCAATGCTATTACAAGAGCTGCATGAGAAGACTCAGTTAACACAATTACTAGCTGACCAGTAGAACAAGGACTCAAACCTAAGTCTTCTTACTCCCTAGTTCTGTGCTGTCTACTAGGCTTAATTGTGGAAAAGGAGATATGTGACACTTGAGAATTATGACATTACCTTATCTAGTAATACTTAATTAAAATATAAATCAAGATTTCACCTTACCATATTTTCTAGTTACTACTAAAAGCCTAAAAGTCCCCACCTGTATGGTTTTATCAGCCAACAGTTTAGCTGTGCCAAATTGGTGTCTACCACAGGCATAGCTTTCCTAAGTACCATGATATGCTGCAAGAACTGTGATCTGTGCTCTACAGTAAATTACAACCTACTTGGGGAAATAATTCTGATGTGAAATTATTCAGTACATTAATAAGTGAGCATGATACAGGAAAAAAGTGTAGACATGGAAGACTACAATGGAGCATCATATAGCAGTTAGAAGCGACACATGTGCAAACAGCAAAACAGATGGATCAGAAAAATAACACTTAGACAAAAAGCCATATTTTAGGAAGATATGGTCTGGCAGCAGTAAGCCAGATTGACAGGAACTAGAATTAACCAGTTATAATGAATAATTTAGTTATATACATTCAGTTTAGTTATATGTTAGAATATACAGGGTGGGGCAAAAGTAGGTTTACAGTGGTTTGTATAGAAAAATAACTCGATACTTAATAAATAATAATATAAGAATAAATTCTGTGTTTCAAGTGCTTATAACTATAAACCTAATTTTTTGCTCCACCCTGTGTATCGTACATATTACAATATTATAGACAGGAAATCAGATGGGGAACTGAATTGAGATGGCTGCTAATAAGAACAGAAATGTGACTAAGATATTAGAATATGATACTGAAATGCCCTAGTAGTTACAATTAGCATTTGTACATATAAGTAAATACATATATAAAGAAACTTTGAATTATTTCTAAATGACATTATGGAGGAAGAGCCAATCTCCTACATCCTAACTCACCTGATCCTCTGGAAACAAAATGCCTTTCTGAGCATTTATTCGTTTAAAAAGGTCCCCTCCTTCACAGTAATCCATCACTATGTAGAGAGAGCCATTTTCTACAAAATATAAAAATTCCATTCTATTTTCAACATGTGTATCAAAAGCATAGTTAAATTAAAGGTACTAAAAGGCTTACTAAAAAGCAGCAGTTAATTAATTGTGTTCTTTTAAACCAAAAACAGAACTACACTCAAAAGAATTAGAGTACAAAGTCAAGGTATACTGGTCACACAGATGATACAATAACTTGGGTTAATAACTCCATCATTAATTATTTTTCTACCAAGAAAACACGGTCTTATTGGATAGCGGTGTCCACATTGACCCAAATATCTCCGAAATACAGACAACATGTAGACAGACATACAGATATTCCTTGACTTACAATGGGGCTACAGCCTAGTAAACCCATCTTAAGGTAAAAATATGTTAAGATAAAAATGCGTATTTTAATTTTGTTAAAGATTTTATTTATTTACTTTTTTAGAGAGGGAAAAGGAGGGAGAAAGAGCGGGACAGAAACGTCAATGTGTGGTTACCTCTCACATGCCCCCTACTGGGGACCTGGCCCTGAACTGATATCTGAACATATCTTTCTGTTTCATAATTTAGACGGATTTATGATAATAGTGGGAATGACATCAATCAGAGTTCAATAAGCCACCATCAACCTGCCTTTTGAGAAGCTTTCTTATCTTAGTTCTGCACTAACAAAAATAATTACATTCCCAAACAGCAATACAGCTATGACATTTTTAGAACTTGAGAACACTTTCAACATACCTCAGTATTATAATAATGAGGTATAAGGAGAATACTAATGAGTAGAATACTTCCTAAAGATCAGAACATTTTCTCAGTAGCAGTACTGGTAGCACTTAAAAGGAGTTTAGTTTAAAAAGATGTAAATTACTGTTCCTGCTTTGTCCAAATTCTTGCACGTACTCCATTGCTTCTTTGTAAGAAATCACAGTAACTGTGAGCCAGTATTGAACTACACAGGGATGGTATGGTTTATTCTCCTAGAATCAATCCGATACTCATGTACACATGTACTGAAGCAAAAACTATATACTTTTCTTCCTGTGAATACATTCACAAAAAGATTCCTTACAGGGAAAACATCCAAAAGTTGTCATATGGCTTATGAGCTTTTCAAACTCTCTTGAAAAATTTATCTGACCTTCAAATGATTCTCTATACTGGACAATATTTGGGTGCTTCATGTTTGCCAACACTGCAACTTCTCTCCTCGATTCTTCCCTTTCTTTATTGGACATCTTAAAGGGGAGGAAAAAAAGAAAATATCAAATTAAACATCACTATACAACCCAGAAGTCCATCAATAAGAGAGTGGTTAAAAAAATAATGGTAACAACAAAGCATGGTCCAAATATCAAAAATATAGTCAGAAGTTAAAAAGGCTGAACTGAATCAACAAGTAAAAACATTTTAAGATGTTCAAACTATGTTAAGTTACAGAACAGGAGACATATAAACAGAAGCACATATCACAGAAAAAAATCTGAAAGGATATACAAACTATTCTGAAATAGTGGTTTTCCTGGGATTATGGCAGTCTTCCACTTGAGATTATACATTGCCACATATTTTTTAATCTCTAATAATAATCCCTCTTGTAACCAGGCTATTACTTAAATAACCAAATGAAAAATACTTGTACACTTACTCTTGAGATATTAATCTCCTTGATAACATATTGTCTGCCATCTTCTATAGATTTAACAAGAATGGCTTTTCCAAATGAACCTTCTCCAATCTTCTGCAGTCTGACATACTTCTCCATGGTTCTTTTTCTAAGGCATCTTAACTGATATGCTAGACACAAACAAAAGTAACAGTTAACAGATAAGCATATCTTCCATAACAACTATAATGTTTAATTTATAATTCCTTTGTGCTTTGTTTAGTTAAAAGAGTATTTTAAATATTTATTGTAAGTTAAAAAAGCCTTTATCTCAATTTTACTCATACAACCTGGTTATAACTAAAAAAAGAAAAACAGTGACATTTCAATTTTATAAGAATGCTTTGTAAAATCAAATACTATATATACTTAATGTATATGAAGAAAGGAACTTTTTCTTATATGAATTAATTAGCACCACTATTTTATTATCTCTGATAAGAAATAAAACTTAATAAGACTATTTCCCAAAGTTATTTAACTAATCCCTTATTAGACATTTAAACTGTTAACATTTGCTATTCTAAAAAAACTTTACATAAAATTTCCATATGTATATTTTTACATACTTCTTATAAAAATTCCTTAGGATAAATTTCTAGTCCAAAGAATATGAAAGCTTTCAAACATATTGCAGCCCTGGCCAGATGGCTCAGCTGGTTGGAGCACTGTTCTATACACCAAAGGGTTCCCCAGTCAGGGTGTGTATGGAAGGCAACCAATTGATGTTTCTCTATCCCATTGATGTCCCTCTCTCTCTCCCCCCCTCCCTCTCTCTATAAATCAATAAACATATCCTTGGGTAAAGATTAAAAGAAAAAGAAAAAAACATATTGGTTAACTGTCTGGTAATGCCTAATAACTTATTCTAACCTGTATAAAAATTCCTGCTCCTAGTTACTCTGTTAACACTGGTTATTAGTTTTTTACATCTTTGAGATGCAATAAATGGTAGTAGTTAAAGAGCACTGAAACCTTGGAGTCAGAGAACCTGAGCTTAAATCCTGGCTTTATTACTTATTTGTCATGTGACTTGGGACAAGTTACTCATCTTCATGTGCCTCAGTCTGTTCATCTGTAAAATGTGGATAAAAACAGTATGCACTTACAGAACTGTTGGGAGGATTGGTTTATTTCAGTAACATACTAAGAACAGCACTGGCACACAATGAGCACAGTGTCACTGTCAGTTGCTGTTGTTACTTACTATGTTCGATGGGGAAAATGGTGTCTCATCTTGCCTCCCAGTGAATTTATTTTGTCTCCCAGTGAATTTATTTCACCTCCCAGTGAATTTGAAAAACTCATCCATGTTTACTGAACATTTATTTGTATTTCTGATCTTCTGAATTTTCCATTCATGTCCTTTGTCCATTTTCTACTGGGACAGCGTTTTTAAAATTAATTTACAAACGAAACAAACGAGCGAAACAGAACCAGAGGCATGGAAACAAGGAGGAGACAGTGACCAAGGGAAAGGGGGAGGAGGGCAAAAGAAGGGGGAGGGTCTAGTCAAGGAACGTGCACGTGCGATGATCCAGGGATGCGGACAACAGGGTGGGAACTGGCTGTGGGGGGTGGAGGGGTGGATGGGGCGGCGGAGAGCAACAGGAAAAATTGGGAAAACTATAATAGGACAACAATAAAATAAAAAAAATAAATAAAGAATTTGAAAATTGACCATTCACATATTACACATAATACTTTTCTTTGTTTTAGTTATAATAAAGCTCATTTTATAAACCAAAAAATAAAAACAAAAAGAGGTGACAAGACTACCAACTTAGAAAAATAAAAAGGATTAATACTATAAAGAACTGTATGCTGTGACAAATCTATGTGTCAACTGGACTGGGTCATGGGGTGCCCAGATATTCCGTTAAATGTTTCTTCTGGGTGTGTCTGTGAGGGTGTTTCTGGATGAGATTAACATTTTAATTGGTAGACTGAGAAAAGCAGATTGTCCTCCTCAGTGTGGATGAGCCTTGTCCAATTTGCTGAAGGCCTGAATAGAATAAAAGGCTAAGTATGAAAGAAAAGAAATTAATTTGTAAAAGCTCCTTTCATGAAGATGTGAGCCCTTCTCTGTTATAAATTCTTCTTTTTTCCTTATACATGCATGATATTTGCTTTTCAATTTTATTTCCATTTTCCTTACATATGCTATTTGCTTTTCAATTTTATTCAAATATAGAAGTTTGATATAAATAAATTTTTCAATCTCTTCTTTCTGTCCCTGCCTTTGGTATAACGAGACCTTTACCATGCCAAGATATTTGATTAAGGTCATTAATAGCTTTAGCAATAGTAATTTCAGGAGACTGGTGGGGACAGAAGCCAAATATGCTGGGTAGTGAAAGCTTTAGAAAGGGAAAGGGAAGAGAGAGGACAGGAGAGAAGAAAGAGTCACAAAAGCAATCATTAGCACTGCTTAGTGGCAAGATCATCATATTGTGGAGATACATGAATTCAGTATATTAATCTAAAACTAATAAATACTTAATTTACCTAACGTGCTCTTTTCTGTTTCCATTCACATCAAGCAGGCTTTCTACGTATGATTCCCTTCCAGGAGCAGATGGGTTTGTCTTGAAGACTGTATTAAAATTTCTGTGACAGTCTACCATATTTTTAATTATAAATGAACGAATCCATTTTTTTCCTTTCACCTATCAATACTAAAATTTGTTTAATTTTATTTTGCCTCTAGAAAATGATCCAATGTCCTTAAATGACAAAATTCATATTCTGGGTCTACAAGACTAAAGGCCAGAACCCAGCCTGTTATAAAATCAATGGGATAATTATTCCTCATAAAATTTTGTGGGAAAGAGTTTTCTTCTACCTTGGAAAGCATTATAACCATTTTCCATTACAAATTTTCTGTAAGAAATGACAAGGCTTTTAGCAACTTTAACAGAGACAAGAAATCAGCTATTATGATAGCAGTACAGCATTATCAGTAAATTAAAGTAGAAAAGCCATTGCGAGCACTTTCAAGCCCAACTTTGGTCAAATGGCATCTAGAATGGCTATCTGGGCACCAGCCAGAATTTAATGACTTCTCCAGGACATGAAAGTATGTTACTTACTATGCTATTTAGAAAAAAAATTTAAGGTAAGTTCATCTTAGAAAACCAAAATTTATAAGTCAAATTACATTAAATAATAACCACACAATGAGATTATTTCATAGCCATCATTATTTTGTAACTTTTGCCAAGAAAAAAAAAAGTAAATTAGTCCATTTGGCCCTGCCTCAAAATTTAGTTGTCAGTTTCTTTCAAGGGACCACAGTAATGAGACGGAAGCTCTAAGAGTCTCTAATACTGCATTCCAATACCTACCACATTACTGAGCATTATGGTTCTGACAACTCAGTAAAGTACAATCAGTAGATTGTACTCATCCTGCCCCTGGTGGGGAAGGATGACTCTAATTGCCATCAAATAATGTCAAGTGCAGACACCTTCATGAACAATTAAAGACTTGTGGTTGAGAGTTTCAGAGCAACTGACAACCCTTTCTTTCCTGCAGAGTCCACACTAGACAAGTGCAGTACATTAGAGGAAGCAAAAGGGAACACATGAAAGACAGATTACTTTGTGTCTTATAACGATTTTGATTAAGCTGCTCATTTCCTAGTTGTGAGACTTCTCAGCTGAATTACAACCCTGGAAGACTTTCAAACCAAATGAAATAAAAGATTAAATGTACTATAGGCTTACATATCCAAAATCATTATAACATGTAACCAAAAGAACACAAAAATCCTGTTCTAATTTCATTACTGTAATAAACTCAAATTAGAAATAAATGCCCTTTCTATGCTTCAGCTTTCAACATAAAATGAAAATCACAATACCAATTTGACAGTATTCTTAAGGTCTCTAACTATTACATTAATTTAATCTCCATAATACATATCTGATAGTGAACACAGTGAAAGCATAAAATCGAAGATGTTTTTGATACTTGAGCTTTCCGAGGTTATGCGATATAACAAACAAAGCAGTGGGTTCGGAAAATAAAAGCTACATGAACAAGAGCAAACCAGTGGACTTCTCCAAGCCTTAGATGCCTCATCTACGAACACTGAAGATTTAAACATTAAGGGCCCTAACAATTCTAATAATGAATCAAGGAGAAGAAAATAAAGAACTGAATGGGTCAGAAAATAGAAAACTAACATTGCTTATAATTGTACTATTAGACACAAAGATTAACAGAGAGACATAGCCAAAGCTTGTCTTCAGAAAAAATGAAAAACCACAAGTACTTAACTTTAGCCTAAATCTTTAAAAATTAAAAAAAAAACAACCCTGCAACTTACAGTTAAACAGAGCAATTGAACATACATATTTACCTCTAGTTCTTCTTCAAACCTAACACAACTTTAAAGGGATTTTTTTAAAAAAAGGCAAAACAGGAAAGAAAGCAACAGCAACAAAATTCTGGAAGCTGACAAACCAAAAACAGGCAGCACTGACTTGGGAGACTACAGACAGCTGTAGCCCAAGCCAGCAGTGGGAAATAACTCGACTCCCACTACAGACTAGCTCAATAACTGGAAGCACCAGGCACCTCTGAGAGTAGGGATAATATTAGGACTAAAACGAGACTGGGGGACTGTGTAAGAAAAGTTAGACACAGGGTTTGCCTTATCTACCTCTCCCAATCAGGTGATTACCCCTTTCTCACCTTGGCAAAAGACTAGAGATTTCTCTAGATTGGGGATATCTGGCACAGCGGAGAATGGAAAGGCCATATTTATAAGCATACATCATTTCATTGTGTTTTATTTTATTATGCTTCACAGATGTTGCATTCTTAACAAAATTAAGGCAAGACCTGCTACCTGCAAAAGAATTTGCAGGGGTCTGGAACCAAACCCACAATAACTCTGGGGCATGCCTGTGCAATCTGGGAGATTAAGCAAAAGTCTACATAGTAAATGGTGAGACTCTATTCCAGCCATGATGGTGTGGCTCATACCAGACCATCCCACCTCCGAGAACAATAATGCACACCGAATACAATATATAAAACAACATATAGGAATTAAATGGCTATAATCATTGCAAGGTAGCAACATACTAGTGAGTTCCACATTTATCCCAGCCCTTTCCCTGACGACATTTTCCAAACTGTAGCACAGCAGAATGGAGCTTAAGTAGAAAGGCTGAGGAAAGACAGGTCAGAGGTTAGCGCTGCCAAAATCTTGGACAGGAGGGGAAAGAATACATCGAGTTTAAAAATCTGCTTATGAATTCCTCTTGTCAGTTAGCCCATTCCTAAAAGAGCAAGAATAAAACAGGCTAGTCCTAACAAACCCTAACCAATTCTTACGGGATCAAGGTGATACTGTTATCAGCTGATACTCCCATCAGCCTGCCAGAACAAAACAATTTTTGGAAGATAAATGTTCCAAAAACTCTAAGGGTTTTCATTCATAACTTGTAACATCCAATCAATAATTATGAGGCATGTTAAAAATAAAGAGAGAACCAGAGAACCAAAACAAAAAGAAGCTAACACAATAAAAATAGGCTCGCAAGTGACTCAAATATGGAGTTACAGTTTTAATAACCATGATTAATATGTTCAAGAAAATAAAAGGATGAACAAAAGTGCTTTTTTAAAGATGGAGATTTTTTAAAAAAGATTTTAAAGAGGGAGAATTTCAACGAAGAACTAAAGTTTATTTTTAAAATTAAATAAACATTCTAGAATTAAAATATGTAAAATTAAGAACCCATTGCATGGGTTTTCCAGCAGACAGGATTAGTAACCTAGAAAATGAACCAACAAAAAGATCTGATGAACAAAGAACAGAGGGAAAAAATAACAACATATATGAAAAAAAGAGCAAAGGTGTAGATGGATAGATGAACAGGATGATTCAGTATCAGAAAGATTTTAATTCTTAATCTCTAAATTTACCAGTAATGCTGTCCTCAGGAAAACAAAAGCTTTGGGGGTGAGAGAGATAAGACAAGCTCACTTTAAAGTTAATATGAAAAGAGCAAGAACAGCCAGAGAAATACTGAAAAGACCAATGAAGGAAAACTTGTTCTACTTGACATCAAGACACATCACGAAGCTGTAACAAAGGGATTAATAAGACTACATAAAAATCTTCATAGCAAAAACTAGTATAAGTCAAAATGCAAAGGAAAAAAATATATATATCTTAGATCATATCACCAAGGGCTCATTTTTCTAATAAATAGAAAGCTCCTACATATTTGTAGAAAAAATCCAATAGAAAAATGGACAAAGAATGTGAAGTTAAAAGTTAACAACAGAAAGGAATATAATTGATGTTACAATGTGCAAAGGTATGCAATCTCACTTAAAGAAAAATACAATTTAAAAGTATAAAAGATAAATTTTGTGCATATTTTACCACGATAAAAAAAAAAAGTACAAGAGATAGCATTTTTTAGCCATCAGAATGGCAAAATTCAGAAAGTTTGTTATTGTGCTGTGTTGGAGGAAAATGTAAGAAAACAGAATACGGTTAGAATACAAACTGATACAAATACTAAGGCATATTAATTCAGCAATATCTACCAAAATTATAAATGTTCAGACACTTTAATGCAGCAATTCTCTAGGAATTTACCCTATAAATATTTTCAAATGTATTAAAATGTATTACAAAGTTATCCTCTGTAGCACCATCTGAAATGGCAAAACTTATTCATCAAAGAGAAAGAAATATTTATATTGATATGAATTTCTAAGTACCAGAATAATATATCATACTCCCCTGTTTTAAAAAAATATGTATGTGTATTTATACTTACATTTACTTATATATGTGTGTATAAATATATATGATCCTCACACACACACATAACTACTTGTAGAAGTAAGTAAGATCCCTGAAGGGTTACAAGATAAACTGGTAATACTGACTGCTTTCAGGGAAGAGAGCTGAGTAGCTGAGAAGATTTTTCAATTTCTTACACCTTCCTATCTTAAACTATGTGACTGTATTGTGTGTTCAAAACAATAAATTAAAATTTAAAAATAATAAATACTGACAGAAGTAGGAAGAATACTATCTCATCGATTTCTCTGGTTAAAATCCTTGAATAGTTCCCCATTCCCAACCTCTGATCCTGACATTCAAAGTTTTTCTATCTGGCATCACTCTCTTTTCAAAGTATGTCAACTATGCTCCAAAATATATACCTATATATCTTGCCTCTAGTCAAATCAGACACCTTTCCTCACATTTTACTAAGAATTTATTTAAGCGACACACAAGCAATGCTTGACATAATAAAATTTTGTGCACCAAAAATGAAAAATGTTAGAGTATATGAATGAAAAACTTCATCCCCACCAATTCGAACATTAAGTCTATTCAGCTATATGATGGACAAGTTGTCCTAAGGGGAAACATCGGTAAAGGAATGTCAGCTGATTTCAAGAAGTCCTTATGGTACTGTCCACAGCTACAATCCATACATATAGTTCTCCCAAAATAATAAATACTATTTGGGATTAAAGGAGAGGGCCAATTTATCTTCTCAGTAAGGAAAGTCCATGCTTTATTTCTATTACTCAAAAAAATAGAAAGTAAAAATAGGAATCTCTATTAGACTTTTTTTCCCCCAAATATTTTTTTTCTTCTCTGTAAGTCTATTCAGGCAATTAACAGCTTCCCAAGTGGAAACTACCAACATGTAAATAATTTGTATTAATGAAATGGTGTCATGACCATGACTTAGAAGGTAGGAGATTAGACAGAGTAAAATTTACTTGGAATTCAATGCCAATGTATTATTAAAATGACCTCAAAAGAACTCCTGTGGCCAAGTTCTACAAGCCTTACTAATGGTGACTTTTACTGGACAAAAACCTGTTTTCCCACAAAATAAGCTCCTTACCTTTCACCTAGAACAATGGGCAATTTCAAATGAGGAAGATCTGTGGATCCTCTCACTCCAAACAAATCTAAACTAGAAACAAAGGACTACTTCTCTCCATATTTGGCTTCCCTCCATCATTTCTACAATACTGCTGCATCATAAGAAAAGGTTGTTATTAGTATATACTAGATAGTAGCTTAATCCTTCATAAATATTTCTGATGTAACTTAGAATGGAAATAAATTTTTTTGTTTCTTGGGGTGGATCTTACATTAAACAGTAAAAATTAGGCCTGCATAGAAAGAGATATGATGAACTCTGAAAGTAGAACTCTTAATGCCTTACATATAGAAATTGTTTTAAATTATGGAAACTGAAATATAAGATTATAGGCTAACCAGTTGCTACTCATTTTCTGATTAAATTTTTGTGTAACTGAAGATCGGAGACAACATACAACCCTGCAAATGACTGCTTATGCATACCAAGATTTCTATTATTTTAATAGCTTTTAAAATGTCCAATGTTTGCTTTGTAATACATATTGTTCCTTGGAGAATTAACATTCTAGTGAGATAAGGATACTATTTTTCTGTGCACTCAAGGTATCCATGCAATCTCTACCTAATCAGGTCTAATCAAGGTCTCCTCGTTTCCAATATGATTTGACATTTTGCATATCATTGCTTACCCCAAGCGCAACTCACCTCAACGACACAAGACGTTGGTAGGAATAACGGTGATGATCTATAAGCAAAGGTCTAGGTGTAGCAATCTTCCTATGGAACTTAATGAGTCAGAGGCATCATCCCGCATTTCGAAACTGACATCCTGAAAAAGAAACGAAGTCTGTCTAAGCAGCAGCTCACAGCCTGCTATAAAGCGGGCAGTGAGACTCCCACACCTGACACCAGCCTTTGGCCGACTGCTCAGGTTTGACTTGGGTCCTGTCTCGGGCAACGCCCCATGAGACTTGTACACACTGCCGGGAGGAAACAAACTGGTTTCTGAGCCCCTTGGAAACAGCGGGCGGCAGCAGGGGGAGTGCCTCGGTTACCGCCTCTCTAACTTCAGAGGTGGTTACTAGTGGCCGGGTGGGGGGCTGGCGACGTTTGGCACTAGGAGGCTACCTGCTGCCAAGTCCTCCTGCCTCGCAATGCTTGCTCTAGATTCCGGGACTTGCAGAGAAATGCCTAGGACGCTGAGCTGAAGACTCCGCACCCTACCGCCCCTGAACCCGGGAGAGTGCAGAAAACTGGGGAACGGCCGGCGCGCCACTGGCGCTGGCGTGTGACGTCAGCGCGCGGAAGCCGGCCAGTTTTGGAGCCAGACGGGAAGGAGAGGCGCGGGGGCGGAGCGGCGCGGGGCGGGGCCACAGCCCTGCAGGTGGGAGAGGCAGAAGCAAAGGCCGAAGCGTGCAGTTGGAAGCTCTGTGGCAAAGGGAAACAAGGACTAGAAGTTGATTTGAAATAAAGCATAGTATAGATTTGTCTCAGGCATACTACACAGAGAAAATAACTTTAAAAGGAAATCTGAAGACGTTTATTTAGGTATGCCACATTTTAAAAAGTAACTTAGCTTTAAAAAGCAAGCCTTTTTCTAGTACATCTTGGATGACTAAAACAATAAAGTATTTTTAAGTCTTGAAAATAAGTTTTAAGGTACAATGGGATTTTCTACATTTATACATCCAATGTGTGTATAAATCAATTGCCAGTACACTGAAAGGTTTGGTACTGTAAGTACCTTCCTTCATTGCAGGACCTTCTAAGGTAGAAACATTTTCATACAAGAAGAATGTTGTCCTGGCTATTCCTACCGTTTAAGTGCCTTACCCTGAGATACTGGGATTCCAGACTTGAAGCTGAGGAGGGTGGTACAACTCCAAGTTGTATCCATTAACCATAAGTTGTATGTAGTTGGAGAGACTGCAGATGTTGCCAGAGACCTCAGAGGTAAAATGATTCGGATCTTTGCTCCAGAGAAATCTGTTTCCTTCTCCCTTATTTCTTCTCCAACACATGGATACCAAGACCTTCTTTGAGTTCTCCTACCAATCTTTGGTTTACTTGTGCTTAGAAGACAAATTATTTCTAGCATGTAAATGGAAAGTTTTGGGCTTTTTTGCCAGATGGCACTGCAAGTCATTCAACCTGGTAAACTGGAGAAAATCCACTTCAACTTATTTACTCTTCAAATTCTACACAAAAGACTTGTTTTCCTCATTTTCTCACTTCTAGGCTAACCTTCCACCCCCAGTTAGTCAGTAGGAATTTTGGTAATTGAACGCACTACAACTCTAGTTCTACCCACGTACGTCTCTTTGTATGCCAAAGTCACATGAAAACATTTGCCAACTGTTAAGCTAGCAAATTCTTTTTGGCTGCTTTCATGAAGAATGGTTAGTGAGATACTTCCTTAGACAATTGTTTTTGCTCCTGTCATAAATTGTTAGCAGGAATATAAACTGAGAGTCTTTGTAGAAGTCATGCTAGCAATACGTATATCAACAAGTTCACTTCTAAGTGGGTGAACATGTATTATGAGGATAACCATTATTTTTATAACCAGAAAAAAACAGAGAAACTGTGAATTCTAACAATGAGGACTTGATTAAATAAATTATAATATATTCAAACAATAGAATATTCTGAAGCCACAACAAGGGTCATCTGGACCTGTTCTTACTAATGTAGAAAGATGCCCTTGATACATTGTTGAGCAAATAAAGCAAGTTATTGTAACCTGGATTAAGAGCATTACCTGATGATTTCCCTTTCTGGTTTATATACTTCTGAAGAGTTTAATGTTTTTCTCTTTTTAACAAGAATATTGGAATTTCTTTCATTCCTTTTATTTAAATATTCTATTGGATTTTTCTTTCAAACAACAAAGTCTTTGCTCCTTGCAACAACCCAATAACACAAGTATACAAAAGTAAGGCCTGTAGTCTCTATCTCCAGAGCTCCCCCTATGCTTATTCCTCCAAGAGGTCAATATTAAGAGTTTTATGAATATCGTCTACATTTTTCTGTAAGCTTATAAAAACAAAAGTGTTTATTCCTATGTATATTTTAATCTTTAAAAATGAGATTATAGTGTACATATTTTGCAACTTGCATTTAACAGTATATCATGAATATCTCTAGAGATAACTAATTCTTGTTAATGATATTAATATTCCCTAATATGGATGCACCAAAATCTATTAAATAGGTTTGCTGGGTCAAAAAGTATGCTTTTTTCTTTTCTTTTACTTTAATAGATATTCCTGTGCTTTGGTTATATATTGCTGGATAACATACTACCCTAAAACTTAGTGACCTAAAACAGCAATTATTATTTCCTCACAATTTTGCGGCCAGGAAATTGAGCAGGTTGTTGGGTGGTTCTTCTCCTATACATGGCTTTGGCTGGGATCCTCCATTTAGCTTCATACAGTGGATGACCATGTTGAACTGGATGATCCAAGAAGCTTCACTCACATGTCTGGTGCCTTGGTATTCCTCCACAACTCTCACTCTCTCCACACCCTCCCCGCACCCCATACACACACACACACAGGTAGCTTGGGTTGCTCACAACATTGTAGTCCCAGGATAGTCATACCCCTTTCATAAAAGTTGACTTCATATAAGGAGGAAGTAGAAGGTGCCAGTCTTTTAAAGGCCCAACCAGGTACAGGTATAGTGTCGCATCTGCCGCATTATTGGTGAAAACAACGCTCGAGGGTAGGCAAGATTTATGTGGAGGGGAGAGATCGATGTTGGCCTGTTTGTAGACTATCTACTGCATCCTGGATTATTTTTCAAAAGTTTAAGAAATTCAAACTCCCAATAGCTTTGTAGAAAAGTGCCTATTTCTACCATCACTGGATGTTTCTAATTTTGCAAAAATTTTGAATTTCTTCCTTTTATATCCGTTATCCCTTTTATATTTGGTTACCTTTCTAAAAAATCAATTTGTAGGCGCTGCTTGTAAAATATAGAAATAAACCCTTTGCCATACTGTGGAACAAATATTTTTGACAGTCCCTCACTAATATTTTGATACTTTTTATGGTATCTTTGGCCATAAAAAAATTTGTAACTGATCAAATCTGTGAGGGTTTTATTTTGTAATTTAGGTTTCTAATTTTACCAAGAAAATATTCTCTCACAAAGTTATCCAAATAATGTTATTGTGTTTTAATTGGTAAGTTTAATACATTTGAAATGTATTTTTATATATGATTAACATAAAGAGACTAGCTTTATATTCTTTGAGGGAAAGCTAGTTATAAACAGCATTGTTAATTAACTGTGATTTCCTTTTCCACTGATTTGAAATGTAAACTTTATCATATGTAAGTATACTATTTATATTTGTATCTACTTAGGGATTTCTCTTTTAATTACTTATTGATCTCGTCTTCATTTTTTCAACTTAAAAAATAAAATTTTAATAAGCAATACTATAACAATATTTCTGCTTTGAGAAATGCTGACACTAAAATAATTTTTAAATTTTTAATAATTATTTGTAAACTTTTATGCCAATGATTTTAAAATTATAGGTATAGGCCTTCTTATGATAGAAAAAAATGAAAATTCCTTAAACCTTTATTAAAAGTACTATATACTATGCCAAGAGGAAAGGCACTAGCTATATAACTAGAGTGTTCTTCTACTACAAATTTCTCAGAAATACACTGTCATTAATTTACATGGATTGAGCAATAGGAAAATGATGTGGATAGACATAGGTATTATTCATTCTTCCCAGAAAGCAGGCAGCAAAATGAAACAAATGAAAGGATAACAAATTAGAGCCAATAATTGACAGTAGGTTTACACTGAGTCTTTTCCCTTTGTGAAGTTATTAATAAGACCACGTGTTTGTGCAGGTGTAAGTATTGGATCAGACATAGACATATGAGCAATCTTTTGTGATTGAAAAAGGCTTTAAAACCTTAAATGAGTAAATGCATGCTCTAAAATCCAGATCTGCTGTAGACATGGAATACTGACATCCAAGAAAGAAAAAAAAAAGTGTCTTTGCATTTAGGACTGTATCTCTCTACATTCTGAGAGAGAAATCTTTAGTTTTAAACCAATTCTGGAAGTTCTACTCTGTCTAGCCTTATATAGTTTGAACCAACCATTAGCTATATATAGCTTGGACTTAAACTGTAGTAGCAGTCTGATTAATTTATGAATCTTAATTAGGTAGGCCTAGCTCAATATGCAAAGATAAAACAGTTATCTAATCAGTTCTTGAGTTTCTCGCTTTCTGGGTTGGGTCTCCCGTAAGAGCTCATAGAGGAGTTGACTATCTGAAGAGAGAGATAGATTTTAATCTATTTTTAGGAAGAATAAAGTAAAACATTGAGTCCTTAGCTGTGCAGAGCCTGAGAAAGGCGTCACCTTATGAGTCTGAATTGAGGATGTACCCATGGTTGAAGTAGCTCAGAGCATATCAAGTTCCAATGAGGCTTAGAGAGTTTTGTAGGGAACAATCATGTGAAACTAGAAAATTGTCTTCAATGTCAAAAGCTTTGAATATAATCAGGAGTACAAATCTATCAAAGGTAATTTCACATTCTTTCTTAGGGAAAAAGGAAAAGGACAACAAAAGGTCATTTTCAACTATTTCCCTGATGCTGATGGAATCAGAAGGAAATTCTAGACTAGAGCCATATCACTATTTTTCTAACAGAACATCTTAATCTGTTTTCTTCCTTCTTGCCAATGGATATAAAATATAAGCAATAAAATCAAAGTTATTTATCTGAAACAACTCACAAACACATGAAACAGATCTATACAGCCTTATACATTTCTGATTTTCTGTAGAACTGTTTTTTAATGTATTTTTAAAAAATAGTTATGAGAAATAATCCCATCTCCAGGTTTTTTACTTCAAAGAAAATTTATAGCAACTTGACTAGAGTCAGAGAATAAGAACTTACAAGAAACTGAATTGTGATTCCCAGTGCTCTTTTTTCTTTATTTTGCCAATTCTACAAAATAGCACATTACAACCTGCCACTCTCAGCGTGGTGGAATTGCTGGCAGAAGGGAATGGCTTACATCACCTTCACTCACTGGTAATGCCTACCACTTCTTTCTCTCTATCTGCCAGGGAAAGCAAGACTAGTGAACGAGCAGTCCCAGACCTGGTTGGAATAGGTATACTCTTAGCACTGTGAGTTTTTCTTCTTTTTCCCCTTTCCTTTTTCCAAAGTTCTTTTAGCTGGTCAGTCAGGGAGGAGTAAAGCTAATGTGAGTA